CATTCCTGCACTATGACATCCTCATACTCTGTGCCCTTTCCCAGAGGAATCGACAGATTCAGGAGAGAGTGGTGTTAAAATAGCTGCTATTGAAATAGCTCACCACAATTTAAGAGGAGCTGGGTGGGCACAGAGTATGTGAGCAAGTAAAGTCTGCTGGATCCCCTGGTAAATATCTTCTGCTTCCATTTTATCAGCATAAAGCTTAATATTTTTGCTGAGCCATTACCAGTTATTTGAGCTGTTATATTGAAATGGAAATTCTGGCATTGGTTTGTGTGTGATCTAATACTTTTAGATTAATGATTACACCTTCCTAGGACTTAGTATGATCGCCTAGGAGATGTGTAGATTATTATTTAGAAGCATTGCAGAACTAGGCTTCTTAGGTGTGGGTAATCTTCTTGGGGATATTCATTTTCTGTGAGGTATTTTCCATACCCGGACCTCATTGTTGTGTTTCTTTTTTTTCCTCCCAGTTCAATAGCACAATAAACTGACCAAATCAGCTCTACTGTTATCAAAAACTACTTTTTTTTTTTTTTTTTTTTTTTTTTTTTTTTTTTTTTAAGTGCCATCTTCTGTTAATGGGAAAGGGAAGCTGTAGGAATACTGGCCTCTGTAATTGCAACAGAAGATAAGGGACTATAAAGCCAAACTGTCTGGTGTACTACTTGAGGAAGCCAAAATATCTCACAGAACATCTCTACTTCCTCTACATTTATGCTGCATTTTTCTCCCCCAAATGGTCTTTTTGCCTCCTTACAGTCTCTTCTTTTGATCAAAAAGCTTTTTCTTGCCCTTTGAGTCAGAGACACCTTTCCTGCCTCTCTGTCTTTTATGAACTTGCACTTGAAAGCATGTTTCCTCGCTAGCGTGCACTTCCTCCTATTTCACTTTCGGGAATAATTCTAAATTTGTGTCTATTGTTAAACTATGAAAGATTTTTGGATACAGCTTGGATGAATGATACCATACAAAATAAAGTGCAATTGTCAACAGAAAAACCCTTTCTCACACAGTGGCTACAGTGAGAATTTTGACAAAGGAGGGCTGTCCATGCTTAATTTCAACAAATCTCCAGACCACAGAAACAAATCTCAATTATCTCCAGAAATAATAGAGGTAGTTAACATTTGCCCCATTTCGAGATAACCTATGCCAGAAAAACGTGGCTGTCTTCCTCCCCTCCAGTTCTTGTAAGAGGTCTTTTACATTACCTAAGTGGTTTAAGTAACAGAACTCCTGATTTCTCTGCTCGGGGGAGGTTGGCAATACCCAGAGCAGGATACACCACCTACACACCATGCTTGTGAGTGTGGATCAGATGTTACACACATGCACCGATGTTGTGCACAATGGAAATTTCATAGAGAATTTGGAGGCAAAGGGGGTGAGGAAAGAAAAGTGCACATGAGCACGAATGTGTGTGGTAATTTTGATGAGCCAGTATAATCCACACATACATATAAAACAATACCCTGGCTTTTTCACATTGTGCTAAGCAAAAAGATTTCTCCTCTTGACTTCACTGAGAGCCAAGATACGTGCAAGCCAATGCAAGTTGCTAATTACTGCAGGTGAGCTCCAGGACTTCCTTGCTCCATTGAAACTACAGAAAAATCCCACTGGTTCACAGTGGACCAGGATTTTACCCTGGAACAATGGGTTGATCAGAAAGCAGAAGTGGCTGAACTGTTGCTAATCGATATTGCAGAAAGTTTTTTTTCTTAATTCCCCTTCTAATATGTAATTATTTTGGTAATGCAAATTGCCCTCGGTAGGATACCTAGTAATTCTGTGAAATGCGTGCAAATTAAACACTTCTTATGATGTGGAAAAACATCTGCCTCTGAATGAGTCATACTGGTCTGCATGGCAGCCTAACTTCATAACCTGGTGTCCTAACAGGGCTAATTTTCAAATCTGCGCTACTATTTCAATCTGTATTGCTTGATTTCTCTTCTTTCAGACCTGGAGATTGCCTAGCCCTTTTTCCTTCCTGGCAGCCTTAGAAGTAGGGTAGGGAGGAAGGAAGAAAAGCTGTATGTCTTTCAGGAGAGCCAGATTCACTAGGAATCATTGCAGGTAATGGTCAAATCTGTTTAGGTTCTTTGCATCACTTGAAATTTGTGATGAAGCTCAGTTTACACACAAGGTTTGCAAAAGATGCTAAAAATGACCCTGTAGCTCTGTGGATTCATTGCTGTTGTCACAGCGTGAGACAAGAGGAGCAAACTGCATTCTTCCAATTGATTTACAAAAAGTAATGGAAATCTGCCCTCTTGCCAAGGCTTCAGAGGCAGTCCCAGGTCCAACCTGTTTTTTTGTTTCTACATTGGCCCCTGAATATGGACAAGAAAAAAAAAAAAGTTTCCATCTATTTAATGCTCCAAGGAACCACTAGTTGTATCAGTAACACCAAGCCTTATGGAAACTCAGATTTTTAGTACATTGAATTCTTTCATTTCTACATTTCAGCTTTCAGTGAAGGGTGCACAGCAAATTTAGGGTAAGAGTTAACAAAAAAAAAAGCAGGAAGATAAATTAGCATGTGCATTTTTTTGTGTGCTTTAACTACTCTGTAACTGATTGCTAACACGAGGCGCTTATCTGGTGACCACTACGCTAATTCCCACCCACCCAATGGTCTACCTTGATTTTTTCCTTGCAGGGATTTCCTGCCTTGTGGGGATGTCCTGGATGCTCTGAAGCAGCAGCTGAACCACCATCATGGCATTACTCTGGTAAACCGGCACCACCTCCGCTTTTCCTTCATAAACACACCGTAATTTGTAGGTGGTTCAGTACCTGCTGCAGTAACAGTTGAGTCATCCCAGTAGCCAAGGCATGAACCTCTAAAACAGGGGTGTGGGAACAATTATAGCTCTCCCATAGTAAACCGTACCCGCCTGTGAATCAGTAGCCCGAGGCCCAAGTTTTCTCGCCTTTGCCCAAAATATTGCTGCTGCTTGGCCTTAGCAAGCTGCTTGTGAGGTTGAACGAATCTCACACGGCTAACAGCTTGCAGGCTGGGGGCCTAAATCAGCTGAAAAAAGGACTAAAAAGATAAGATCAAGTTAACATACAAGGCCCTTAAAAAACCCTCCGAGTGACTGCCTCTTCTCTGTCTTCTTGAAGGAGGGTTCCTTCGAAGCGTCTCCTCCGTTCTGGATGGAGTCGGTCTCGGCTGCTTGCTGCTCCCTGGAGTCTGGCTGCTCCCTGGTTTCCTGTTTGCTGCCTTTCTGCTTGCTCAGCTCCACGGTAGACTTCTTGTCTTTTGAACCCTCTTTGCTCTTTTGGCCCACAGGTTCACTTTCGGCTGGGGCAACTGGCCTCTCTGTGGAGTTTAATGTCTAAAGCAGTTTCAAACAATGGTTATTTTTAGTGCGAAATGTAAACATTTTGGAAGGCGATCCATAAATATATTAAAAAATGAAAGGCCACCTGGCAGGGAGAAATCCTGCTGTCCGACACGTTTTCATTTACAGAGCTTGGGACGAACTCCTGCAGCCTTGACTTAGGGTAAGACTCCCAGGGAGCTGACAGAATTACTCACAGGAGCAAAGACTGCAAGATCAAACCATCCCTGCATAGACTTGCTTTATTTATGTATATGTTCATGCTGAAGCTGTTTTAGGAGGCAGAGATCATACATGGAAAGATGCAGAGAGTCACAAGCATGCACTGCCAACCGAGACTCCCCCAGCTTTTGCTGTGAAAGCACCCAAAAAGTGCAAGGGAAAGATCTGAGAGACAAAAGTAGTAAAAGACACCATAAAGCAAAGGATAAAAACAGCTCTGCTATAAAACTACAACGCCTCACCAAAAAAATAACAACATAGGGTTTGGCTATGGCAGGCCACAGCATCATAGAAAATTTCACATACAAATGCAAAAGAAGAGGTAGCAAATATTCCGAAGACAAACACAATGACAGGCCGTCTATTTATAGTAAAGGTAAAGATTCCGAAACTCAGAGAAGTACAGGATATGTTTGAAGTTCACAGGAGAAAAATCAGATCTGGCACACAAAGCATAAGACAACAAAACTGTCACTGCTTGCAGAGTAGCAAGTGACTAGATATGTTTTGGCTAGGAAATCTGTTTGAAAATGGGATTTTCTTTTTTCTTATGCAAAAAAAAAAAAATATTGCCTTATTTATTTACATAATTAATAAAATAGCACACAACTTGGCTGTGTTGAAAAGCTGGAAATCTTACATCTGCCCTCAGAGCTCAGCCTAGAGCTTAATGCTGTGTAATTTTTCCAACTTTGGGGATCTTACCATTAGTCTTGAAATATTTGGTGATCTTCTAAAGGCCTAGGTTTATACACCTAAATGACAAGCTCTGCTTTCAATAAAACCAAATACATTTTTAGACATCATGATTTCAGAGAACAACCTGAAAGCAGGAACTCTAGAGATACAGAATGCAAATACACCTTTCATATCTATTTAAAAAAGAAAACAACCCTCAAGCCATTCTAATTTGGGGGAAACAAGACTGAGATGGGGTAGCAATGCTATCATCGGCCTTTTTCACTCGATTCACCTTTCTTCCCTACCTAATGTCAAAAAAACCCCATGTTTAAATTATAGAACCTGCAACCATTTAATACATTCAGTCTTGACCAATTAGGTTAAGTCCTCAACAAAAAAATGTGCTTGTATTAACTATTTCTTTTTCCAAAGGACAGACATACGTGGGTATGTATTTGCTTACATTTGGATTTGTCTGCTTTTAGACTTAAAATACAGTAACGAAGCTGGTCTGTGCTCTAGTTCTGCAGGAGGTGCGTGAGGACAGCACATGGAACGTGGAGATGCAGGTGATCAGGAGCCCCGTACACCACAGGCAGGTACCGTCCCAGTGTCAGTAGTTTAGTAAAGCCAATTCAATACTGTCAGAGTACAGAACTGCCGTCTGGGGCTGCACAGACACCACACACAACCTGCATCTTCCTCACCTCGCTTGAGGAGACAGACCCGCTTGGCTGCACTTGTGAGTGCCCGAGTGACGCAGGAGCTCTCCCACCCAGCACAAGGACGGACAGAACTTCGTGAACCCAAATTTGACTCTGTCTCTTTCCTTCTGACTCACTTAAACTATCAGACGGGAAGCTCTCAGTTGCCGAACCTATGGGTTAGTTTGACAAGATCCTTCTTACTCTCATCTGCCCTCACTCGCTTTTGAAATGCTTCTCTTTGGTATAATCACAAACGTGCACATTCAATTCAAAAATAACCACCGCACCCAAATACAGCTATGCGACTGGATACGTCTGAGTTCAAAGGTGCTAGAACAACTTCTAACCCTCATTAACACTCTGTGAAGTCTGTGGGTTTATTCTGCGAGTGTAAAATTAGAGCCGAGTCTTCCTCACCACACGTGTTTGATTGTGTAGGTGCCTCACAGTTACAGTACTGCAGCCAAACCCCCGCTGGATGCAACAGGACTATTTCTGCGAGCAGCTTTGGGCCTTTGATGTTAGTCAAACAAAACACTGTAAAAAAATATTCATAATACATTTTCCAGGGAAAATAAGAAAAAAAAAATTCCAATCAGATAATCTCTTTGAGGTGTTTCATATTAACCTTGAAAGGCAGGAAATTGGCATATTTTATATTGATGGGAGCAGCTCAGGAAATACAAACTGAAGCCTATGAATAATGAAACATGTTAATGTTTCTTTTTCTGAAGGGTGATCTGCACCTGACAGATTGCTTTTACTCTCTCAACGTTAACAGCAACACTGAAGGAAAAAAAAAAAAAAAAAAAAAAAAAAAAAAAAAAAAGATTAACAAGGTAGTGTTTCTCCCCATCAGGTTACAGGAGACCGTAATCCAGGGCTGCTTTTTAAGCGCAAAAGGCAGACCCCTAAATTTCCACAGATTTTGGATCAGTGTTGTAATGTATTTCTGTAGAAGACGGAATGGCAGTGATGAAAAGCAAAGAACCACAGCATTCCAGAGATGCAATTGCATAATTTAAGGAGATCATTTCACAGAAATTCTAAAAAAGGAAAAAGTCAACAGCAGATACAGTCTTCCTTGAGCTCTTCCGTATAATAAACTGTGCTAATTTACACCAATGCAAGCAAGAGAAGAAGATAGACTAATAAATTGATTTTTTTTTTTTAAAGAAAGAAAAATGGCTAATTAAAATAATAAAAAGTAGATCCAGGACTGTAACTTTTAGTCATTTACCCAGATCATTTCACAAAGCTGTTGTATGAAATAAAGAATAAGTGTCACAAGACAAGACTTCCTCTATTTGGAATGCTTTTAGAGAAATAATTCATAAATTCCACCACTTTACTATCATAGGATAACATGAAAGTAGGAAGAGTGAGAAAATAATTTGACTATTAATTAAAAAAAGGAAATAAAAGAAGAAAATCCTGAAAGTTCAGTTTCCCATACAACTTCAGTTTTGCTCACAGAAGCAAAGGAAACCCTATGTCTATAGGCAGAAACTGTGTTTTATCTCTCATTACTCAATGTAATTATTCTGGGTATCTTGACTTGCAACAGATGAGGGTTTGACTCTCAGAAAAGGTAACAATAGCTGTATTCTTAATGAAAATATGATTTTTCTGAAGCATTTTTAAAGCCATCAAGAATATAATGTAAAGGTCACATCCAAAGTTTTGATTTAGCTTTTATGAACATAGCATGAAAGAAACAAAAACAGAATAAGAAACAAATATTTTCAGGGCTTTTGTTAAATTACAGTGAACGGTTTTCATTCTCACTTTCATTTCTCTTCTATAGAGTTTCCACCTAAATGATCCTTTCCTCAGGAGACAAGTAAATCAACCAAGTAAAAATTATTCTAGTTGTGTGTATTTAGTTTCACTGCCTAAGCCAAGGTACCTGCAGAAAGTAAAATGATAGCAAGAGAGGTAGGACTTAAATTGAACATAAACCCAGTAATTATTTTAAGAAAAGGAACACACGTGGAACAAAGCATTTTTAAAAAAATCTAATAGTGATCCTTTAAAATCTTGATTAATAGTATGAATAGGTCAAATAAGTAAGTAAAGAAATATGTGAATATATGAAGCTCAGTGAGCATGTAGCACTTTTCTTTCAGTGATTTTTACATTGCAAAATCTGGAGTTGTATGGAAGTAAGTGACAACAACCCATCACCAAAAGATGAAAAAATCCAGGCACTTACTTGCTGACTGGGGCTTGGGCCATTTACCTCTGCTGAACTGGTTGTCCCTCCATCACCCTTGACTGACTAAAATAACAAAGGATTATAGGACTTCTAACTGGGTTCCTGTTTGAGGCATTAATTCAATATGACAACACACATGAATCACAAAACCGCAAAGTTTAAGGATACCCTTTACTACACTAAAACAAAACCAGACATTTCAGAAACTCTACCAACATTTTTGAAATATCCACATCTCCAAGGTAGATTTTTGCTAGCTCTTTTCTGTGTGAAGTGATTGTCTCTTGCAAGTCAATTTTCCTGTTAAGGCCTGAGAAGTACGAGTGAGGTCTCAGTGGACCAGAGGTCATATCAGCCAGTAAAGACGACCGTGCTATCAGCCTGGCCGCTGTAGTTTTCTAGGAAAGAGCTTTTGCTTGCGTTTCAGAGGCAAATCTGCTTACAAGATCTAGTGGGACTTCCTTTCTATTTAATGATCATACTAAGTGCATATCCCGTGAATAATTAAAACCCACTCAGCTTTATGGATATATTTTTATGTTTTATCATCAGCATCCATTTTTTGCAATTTTTGCTTTCCAGTTTATACCTTCTCTCTATCTACATCTAAGTAATGGCCCTTCTTGGTGCCCACTCTTCCCAGTACGGACAATCAGAGCAGACCCTGAGGCTGCAGTGCTGCCAGGTCATTCAGAACAAACCTTGACTCCGAAATACGTTCTTAAGGTACAATGCCCTGTTTCTATCTAGATTGAAAAATGAGAAAAACCTGTTAGACAAAAGTAGCTCAATGAACAAATATTACAAGACTTGTGTCGATTAGATTAAGGTTTAGTTACAATCAGTATATAAAAGAAACAAAAGTATATTTTTAATTAAAAAGTGTGTTAGAGGTTTCAATGTGGTATTCTCCTGAGTACTACATAAGCCACAGAGCTTAGCAGTAAAGCATAAAATAAACTCCAGAATTTCAAAGTGCCCGAATTTAAATGTCATTTTTCATCGCATAAGTTCAATGAAAACAATGAAAGGATGTGACTTTTGTTCTAAAGATAGATCAGGCGGATTTGCGGTTTTGTGCAGCTTGTAGGTTTGTTACTTGAAGCACAACAGTATCACTTGATCCTATGCACGGTGTTACTGCAAGGACCTATTTCAGTGTCTGATTCCCCTATAAACCCACAGAAAACCAAGATGTAGCAGCAGCATAATAGAAAACTAAACCACTCCATGACAATTCATTACTTGTCACAAATTGTGGGAATAAAATTTTCTTTCTGGAACACGCCGCTGCTCACTCTCTTGCATGTTTATGCTCGTGACTCTTTATCTGTGTAAGAGGTTGCAGAAACGGAGGAGAGGAAGCACAGTGTGGTCTGTCTTAACATTACAGGATAGAAACTCAGTCCAAAGTGTATGAAGATGTATTGTGATAAGATCTACTTTGCATTTCTATTTCAGTAAGTCTTTAAATGCCTTCAGAAAAAAAAAAAATAATCTTTACGCTGTAACAGCAACCACTTCGTTACTTGTTTCCTAAAAAAAGAAAACACAACCAGAAAAAAAGCAAATCCCCTACCTTAGCCAACCTTTTGTAATCCACCTTTTTTTTTTTTAAAACAAAACCATAAATAATAGAGTAAGGACCTTGAGGTCTTTGCCTAGACAAAGGTGCCTCTTGCCTTCAGTGAAATGCATATGTAACGATCACAAGTACATCTCTCTAGAGCACTGCAGCCCCACTTGCCTTTGGTCATTTAGGATTGCTGCTGCCGAAAGCTTCCTGCGGCAGTAAAGGTGGATCAGCACCTCTTGAAATGGCAGAGGGTGGGGACAAACAGCAGACTTGCTACATTTTCACAAATAATAAAGGCAAATTAAGGTGGGACAACATAAAACATTCTTGATTCCAAATGCTATTTATTATGTAAGGATTTATTTACGTGGGGAAGCACGCCAGTACAGACACTGCAGACAATTTGGAAAGAATCTTTTTTGTTATTCCAGAAAGGTACATTCTCCTTGGAAGCACCTTCATTAATCCAGAATTAGAACTTTTTATTTCAAGAGATGATACTCAATGCTATCTTAGACCAACTGTGCTGCCAGTCAACTTCCCAGCTGAGGACAAAGGCTACAGCCTCAGTTTACAGTTGGTAATTCTGCTCGTTCTGATAAAAAAATGCCATATTACACCCTTCTTATCACCACAAAATATCTCAAAACAGACATTTTGAAAGGATTTATCTTACCTAGCTTTGCACCTGTTTGTACTCCATGGGGAAAAACAGGGACTTTCAGAGCTCACATCATCTGATGTGTGCTAGATCCTAAGGGGCTCTCAGATCTGCTCACCTCTACTCAGCGCCTTTAAAGGGAACATGGGGTGAGTAGCTCAGGTGTAGCCGTTTCTAGCAAGACATCTGCACTGGTCCTGATATAGCCCACCCTGTAAATAATAAGATAGCTATTTGATCCTGATTAATGAGGCATGAGTGACTTTCAACCAGCAGCACAGGATTTCACCTTCACGTAGGTGTAGCCTAGTTAGATAAAAGAGCAGTGGTATTTCTTCATCTGTTACTGAATCACAGGGCTTTAAACTAATACTTTATACCTTTCTCTAATTTCCCAATAGCTTTTATAATGTTAGTTAACCCTCTCCCATTTTAACCACTGCAATGACTTTTGTGACCTTTGCAATTGCAAACAATTCATCACAAATAGGAAGGGACATTTGTACGGAGCAAGTCAGCAGGCAGGCTGCGAGATACACACTGCCTGTTCCGGAGTAAGTTACTCCGAGCTCTCGCAACAGCTATCCTTGCATCAACAGTGTTACCACAGTCCTATGGGTCTAAATGTCTACTTGCCATCAGCCTGTGCTTGTGCTCTCTGAGCAGAGTTTGTCAAAACTGAGGCACATGGACAGTTACTGACTTGCCTCTCTCAGGCTCAGGATAGACTGAAGTAGAATTAAGCTTATTTTCTGAGTCCCAGTCTTGACACCTAAGAAGAAGATAAGCCACCTTTTCTGAGGCTCTTGGGCAGTTAACCTGTGTAACAGAACTGTGGATGATATCAGAATACCTTGGGATCATCTTCTGCAGGCAGAAGAGAAACCCAGTAGAAAATCATATTAACGTAAATTTGAAAGTCCATCTCTTTCAGCAGCCAGAGCAATAATCCATCTATCGCCAGAGTGGAGACTAAACAATAAAGAATATAAGTAAATAGGAGCCTGGGTTTTACCGGGGAAGTCCTGCTACATTCCTTCCCACCGACAAGCATGGTTTGTGTCAGAGACAGTAAGTCCTGTGCTTGTTCAGATCCTATCTTAAGGAATTCCAGGCCCGCTCCGTCTGCAGCAAGGCAGGAGGAGTGCTCCAGGAGGACCTGCTGGATGAGTCAGTGACCTGCATCACGTGGATGCCACGGTTTGTACAGGCTCTGATGCCACTTCAAGGCATTTCCCACACCTCCAGGAGCCTCCTGCTCCAGTGTCACCTGTGGGAGATGGAACACCACAAGGTACATTTAGGCATTGGCTGGGGTTTTTCCAGATTTGCAAGTGAAAGTGGTTGAACAGATGTCACCACGTGAAGACATCATTTTATCCCCAGTGCTTCGGGTAAGAGGTGCTAAGGACTGAGTTCTTCACGCAGGTAGGAAGCCCAAGGGGATAGTCCGATGGCAGGCCCTTTGCTGTGCTCCTCAAGTGCACATTCATGCTGTGGCCAAACTCTCATATATCTGTATTAGTTTTAAATTAACTAGCATTAGTAGGAACAGCAGACTAATGACATTAGCATGAGGACTGGGGAGGCCGCAAATGGCAAGCCCCCAAAACGTGCAAATTACTCTGCTCTGAGCTCCACGGTGCCAGAATTACGCTGCTACCGGGATGTGCGCTAGCTGTGGCAAAGCTGGCGCGGGAATTCCTCCACGTTATGACTGTTACTGTAGGGTAGCCAGACCTCAAGAGAAAACTACAGTGGAAATAAATCTTTTCTAAGTGGAAATTATACCTTCCAGTGCCCAGGCTGCCAGTAGAGCTATTCTGAGCAGAGAGGGCCCTGCTAGACATCACCATAGCATTCATCTCAGCTCTTGACCCCACAGCCCTGGAGCCTTCCCCCCTTTTCCTTGTGGGAGAATCAAGCCTGTGTTGGAGCCAAACATTTCATGTGTTCTCAGCGCTCACCACTAGTTCAAAAGCTTTACAGAAGCTACGCGTTTAGCAGTGGCTTAAAATCCTTCTGTCCGCCTTGGGAATCAGAAACACTGATTGACGAGCTGGCACAAAGCTGCAGAGCAGACCCATAGCTCCGATTTTGTGCAACAGCATGGCAGTGATCCAGTAATCCAAAAGTTATTCAGAGGAAACAGCCTGGGACATACTTCAAGGACAATAAATATATTAAAATAACCCAGGATCTGTTTGGAAATTGATAGCCAAAATTAGAGCAGGCAAATACAAAAGGTCTCAAAAAGCTGCAAAACGAGTTACACAGTTAATCCAGTCCTGTATCCCATGTGGGTAGGCGTTTGCCTACATAATAGGGCCATCTTTCTTAGCCAAAATCTGGATCAAACCCCTGCTCTGATTAGAGCAGTGATATATCTACTGCTTTTAACACAGCTCTGGTTTCTTCCATGGTGATTAAGATGGGTGCAGAACAGTTTTATTTTTTAATCAGTGCTATTTTTTTTGACAGTGTGACATGGTTTGAAGTCATGGTTGCCGCAGATGTCAGTGTTTGATATGCATTGCTCCTGAGTCACCTTCTGCATGCCTAGGGTGTGCCATGCAGGATGATCACAAGTCTCCTTGGATTTAGGAATAAGGTTGAGATTTTTCCAAACTAATTTTGTAAAATCTTATGTGGAATTAAAGGCAAGTTGGGTGCACAATTCTTGGCTGATATCAAGAATTTTAGCTTGGATCCTTCAAATAACACCCGAGTGCCAATGTAGTAAAGTAACTCTGAAGAACAAACAGTGAACACACCCATCATGGGTTGGTCTGAGGATAACGAACAACGAAAAAGAAAAGAAACACCAATCTTTTGGAAATAAAAAATAAATCAGGATTTGGGTTTTTGCATGTACCTTCTATGGTCTGACTCACGAATTTTAACCTTTAACAATGTGACTGTTCACAGCTGTATGTACCAGCAAGTACCTATGCGCCGACAGTTCGGACAACCTGGGCTATTGGTTACATTGCGTTAAAAGAAAATACATTAAAATGCCAAAAATGTAGAAGCTACTCTGACACCCACACCATGTAGCTGCCTGAAAATAAAACAGCATTGATTAAAAATAGAAATCTTCCATACACATTTGTAAACCTTGCCAAAATAGATCAATTACTATATAAATCCTCAAGGCCTGCTACAATTTTAATCAGAGAAGGGTTAGTTCTAGAGTTGGATTATTTTCTTTCTTGGCTGCTTTACTAGGCTCTTTTGAGGAATGCTGTCTGGCTGTTGTTTGTACACAAATCCATCAGGATAGCTCTTCATACCTATGACCACAAGACGATACCAGCCATGTTATCACCTCAGTGGTTTCCTTCTTTCCTCCACTCTTCTGGGAAGGAGGATTAAATTCCAGTTTGTGCCTTTCTTTTTTCCACCTACTCTATAACATCTTTGAAGCAGCAGTTGTGTCCTTTTACGTGCCAGTTTAGCTAACCTACATAAGCTGCCAAAAAAAAGTTTCACTACTAAAAATACGACTCCCTGAAGCAAGCACAGGGCTTAACAATGGTGCGGCACAGGGACATTTGATACTGCCATGGCTAATGGTAGCCAGTTTCCTCTCGGAGCATCTGCCCAGGTCTCACCCCACCCGGTGGAAGGGGTTTGTGAAGCTGATGGCTCCCTCGGTGGCAATCGGGAATGATGGCTCCAGCCCCCCCCCGCCCCGACTGCCCTGTGCCACCTCGGAGGGGGAAAAAGGGCCGAGGTGGATCCCACGGAGGGGGGCGGGGGTGGGCAGCCCCAGGGCTGTTCCCGGCGCAGCCACCAGAGGGAGGTGCAGGACGCGAAACGCGCGGGGGGACCCGCGGGGACCGGCGGCTTCTGGGAGAGGGGGGACAGGGGGCGGCAGGGAGAAAGGACAAGGTCCCACACACGCACACACCCCTGGAAAGGGGCATGGCTTCACTCCTGCACCCTTACAGATATTTATTTTCGAAAGATTTTTCGAGGATTCCCACCCCTGGCCGTGCAATGAACACATCACTCTAAATTCTTGACATTGAGCATCTCGCTTACCAGTTTAAAAAACTTTCTCAGGTTTGCTTTGGGGGTTTTGCTTTCTTCTCTTCTAGGTTTCACTTCTGCAGCTTCTGGGCTCTTACTCTCGTCTTTGTCAGGAGCCACAGCTTCTAAAGACGCGTCTGCTTTTTCATTGCTTACGATCTCTGCTTCTTCCGATGCGTTCTGGGGTTATTTGGGGCAAACATTAAGAAAGTGGAAAAAACATTCAGACTTAATCAGAGAGGTCTGGGTTGGGATTTTTTTTGTTTGTTTGGTTGTTTTTTTTAAAAGAGGTTACAATCAAAGCGCTTCAACAGTACAGTAAGTTGATACATCATAAACAAACGTGGCATGAAAGCACTCTCGGTGTCATGGTATCTGGACAGATTTCTTCAGGAATTTGATTCATCCCAATTCAAAAAGTATATAAGCTGGTAGGATTTTAAGCACTTGTTTAAACTGAAGAAATAGCCTTTCCTGGATTTCAGTACCAGTTCCCAAACAATAATTTGCCTTTGGTTATGATTAAAAAAACCCTTAAAATTACTTACACTTACAGTAGTATGTGCCATGAGTAGGCGACACTCAGATAAAATCAGAGACAGATCATAGCCAGCAGTTTGCACACCAAAGAAAGAATAGGATTAAGTAATTAAAACGCACCATGGACTTTATCAATTGTTAAAACTCTGTTAAGCAACCTTCTTTGTGAAATATGGAAGTGCAACCTCCCAGCCACAGCGTTCTCAGGCTGGTCACACTCACAGCGCCCACTCCTCTTCCCAGCCGCAAAGATAGGAATGACTTCTCCAGGAACAAGGTAGTTAAGCAGCCCATCTATTACTTCACCTAATCCCATGGGTCGCAGTCACCCTCTTTGATAGTGTCGACCCCCATTTGAGTTCAAGAAAGGCTGCTGGATACTCAGCAACGTTGCCTTTATAGAAGGATTTTGGGTCCCACTGAGGTTTTGTGAATTGCTGGAAAGTTCCCTCTATTACACTAGTACTTCAACCAGAGGCACGCGGTTTGCAAATTCCTCTAAAATATAGATCCCCATTAAGATTTATTGGTTAATCTTCTGCATGTCCACAGCCCTCTCAAGGCTATCCTGGGAATGTTCAATGTGTTAACGTGAACAACAAAACCTGCCGAGCAGAATAGATGAACGGGAGGCCCATTTCTGCTGTAGGAGGTGGAGGCACAGCTGGGCAGGAGCCTGAACTCGCGTTTCCTTAGCTGACTCTTCTGCCCTGGTAAATAACATTCTTCCGTGCCTTCAAGAACCACTAATTAATTCCCATCTCACCTTAACTGTATAAAGAAATATCTTTCTTTCTGCCATAAAGAGAAGCTATTATGCTAATAACCAGGCAATTTCACCCGAAGCGAGCCCTTTATCATTTGTAGCCTATTGCAGAAAGGTGCGGAACACTATAAAAGCAGGGTAAGTTACACCCTCAGCCTCCAACACTGAATCAAAGGGCAGCAGTTACCCAAGGTATTGGCATTTTGACACATGCTGCTGCTTAAAAATACAGCATAGTCATAGCTGAAACATATACTATGGTTACTATAGGAAAGAACTGCTATAAATAAATCTCAACTATTTATATTTCACAATTTTTACTGTACTTACAGGAACTTACATTGATCGCATGCTCATAGTTATTTTGACCCAATTAATTTTAGCCACATGAACATGTGAACAATTTGAAAGATAAGACCAAAGATTCAGCGCAGGCCCATATCCTGCCTCAGGATGATAAATATGGATGCCTCCTCCAGCAGCCACTTGCAGTACTACTGCCCTCATATACTTTTCTAATTGTCTTCAACTTGGTGATTCCCACGTAGTATCTTTAGTTTAACAGCCCTTGATGGATTTTTTCCTACAGAAATTCCTGACATCCAGCAGCATCCTGTGGCAAAGAATCCCACAGCTAAAGAATGCTTTTTTTTTTTTTTTAAAAAAAGTACTTTCTTTTCATCTGTCACCAAATAATTTCATTTGATACTCTCTACTGCTTTTATTTTGAACAACTGATCTTTCCTGTTCACCTCTTATGTTACAGTAGTCATTCTGTATGCTGCTGGCGTCTTCCTTTCTGCCAACTCCTTTCTGAGCCAAAAAAAAAAATAATCCTAATTTACGTAGTTCACACAGAATCCATTCAATACATTTATGCATTTTTCTCTCTGTATTATACCTTTTAGTTCTATTATATTCTTTTTGAGTTGGGGGGACCCCACGTGCAAGATGGGGACTCACCATGGACTTCTGCAGCAGCATGAGAGATTTTGCTTTGTTCTTTACTCCTCTTGTGGAAGAAATGAACATTTTGGTGGTGGGGGCAGAAGAATGATGAGGGAATAAATATCCCTTGTCCCCCGCTGCCTGAGATGACTGCAGCACAGCCCACTTCCCCAAGGAATTGTAGATTTAATTTATATTTATGAACATTTTTGAGATAATCAATCTGTAATAATTTTCATTTATATTTCTGCCTATTCACACATACATACAATCAATTCACCATCTATTTGCTTGAAGGAAATGATTCATTGCGTGAGTTGAAACAGTGGCTCAATAAAGCAGCAACCTAGCTGCTGGGAGCTCATCATTCAAAGATTACCGTTTGGGATGATATTACTGCTACGCTGTTACAGCTGCAACCCAAGTGAGTTTTGTCTCTCAAGCTATGTCTGTGCAATGGCCTTAGTGTCACTACTGATAACAAATGCATCCTGGGGCGAAGTGCTAAACTCTGAAAAGCACCGTCTATTTAAATAAAGAAACGAGCTAAGTGATAGTCAACTATTCAGAGAGATTGATTTGTTTAAAGCAATCAGTGTCTTCTTGTACGTTTCTTGATGGATTCCATAGGAGGCTTTAGGAAAGTTTAAATCCTGTTTTAGTATAGCTAATTTTTACTTTTTTTTTTTTTAATTAAACTTAGCTATCCAATGTAGGTACTTAAATCTGGTACTCTATTAGGCATATCAAAGTTGTTGTCAAAGTTACAGGTTATCTTGTTTGAGATCTTGGGCTTGCTATCAAAAAATTTGTTGTTTTCTTGTAATTATCTCCAGGAGTCATTCTTGTATACCCATCTGCCTCTGTAAGACTGAATTAACTGATGCTGAAGATTTTCTTTTACAATTTTGTGATCTCAAAGACATCTCTGGAGGCCTACTCCAACCTCCTGCTCAAAGCAGCAGTTGCATCAGGTTGCTGAGGAGCTTGTCAAGTCAAGCTTTCAATACCTTCAAGGCTGGAGATTCCACAACTTCCGTGCAATCACATCAGAGTATTCAGATATGTTGGGACACAAGGAAACTCTAGAGACATCACAAAATCATCTCAAATAAGACTGACCAAGGTGGCAGTTTCTTGGAGACTGATGCCACATGACCATGGTATATTGTGTACTTCAGGGGTGCAGAGAACGCCTGCGTGTGGTCTTTCAGTAGAGAGGAAAACCCCTGCCAGCTAAGAAGGTTTTCTGACATGCTTTTAAGAACAGAGTTTTTAAATTTTGTTCATGTTTCCCCTAGGAAACTAGAAGAAAATTTTCCATTTGTGCATTCAAGAGAATCATCAAGGTGTTTCTGGCAGGAATTGAAAGTATAATAGGAAGAACCTGACAAAGATAAAGTCAATAAACTTTGAATGATGCTACAATAACCTAAACTGTTCTCTAGAGAAATGGGTTCAGTTTCTTTACTTCACCTGGGAGAAAAACAAAAATTATATCAAGTTTTGTGACTAGTTTTAGGAGGAAACTGCAGTTTGTAGATAATAATAATTTGCAAACAGCCTAGCTCTATCAGCTTTATGAGTTTTTAATGCATAAGTGTTCTCATAAATGTAAATTGTCAATTTATACACCCATAAATTGCATCAACTGAGGTTGCTGGATTTGTGGGTCCAAATTCTGCCTCCAGTTTCCTCAGACGCAAATTGTTTTAAATTCATCCTAAGTCAGCAGCTACTGCTGTTATGTGCTGTGGAGACAGATGTGCTATTTGGTTATGCTCTTTTTCTTTTTTTTTTTGAAGGCACTCTGCCAAGCTCAGGAAACATTTCAATATACATTTGTTTGAAGAAATAAGATGAGTGACATTCTTTGTTCTTCCTATTACAGAACTACCTTTGTTTTCTTTTTCAAAATAGTATTTTAATTTATAAAACACAACTAGTAAAGATAAGAGTATTTTACTAGGCTCTCTGTTTCACTATGTTTGGGAAGCATCCTTCCATCTCTTAAATGACAGCGTCCCTAATTTTCTTCCAGTACTAAGCTTACTTTGAACCGTTATGACAGAAAGTTTGTCTCTACCTATTGAGTCCTCTTTCTGTTTCTTACAAACTCTGCTATTGTTTTGGTGAACTATTACTACGCCATTTTCTTATCTAGATTCCTGACCATACAAATTGTTGCCTTATGAGTGTGTTTTGTGACCTGGATAACTTTGATGAGAGTTTTCCTTTTGCTTGCTGCCTCTTTCCTCAAAATTGAGGTAAACACTATACCCTGCTTTGATCTTGTGCCGGAGTCTGAACTGGCGCTCTCCACTGCATTCCATTAGACTCAAGGAAGAGTTCTGCTGTTTCTCCTGGGTCATACCTTCTTTACGAAGCAGCTTTTCTTTTTTCTTAACAATGTAGATGAGAGATGACCTTTTGCTCAAGAAATTTCCACTTAAAAGAACAGTCATGCTTGCGATCTGTTCCCGCTCACAGACTGGCAGGCAGGAAGCAGAGAGGCTTTGAGAGGCTTTAACCCACCTTCCTGCCCTCCTCTGCCACTGCACAGACGACAGAGGTTGCTGCAGTTAAGGTAGCTCAGCTTCAGCCATCAACGTGCTCTCAGACCTCCACCCTGAAGCTCCCCGTGACCCGCAGCTGCTGCCCAAAGGTGCCACTCGGCAGATCTTGAGCCATAACAGCTCAGGCTGTTAACCAATTTGCATCGGCCACTGTCGGCTTATGGTGAAAACCACACTGATCTGTAAACAGCCCAGAAGCGTGGTCCTGACTCACAAGTTCTGTTGGGTTTATTGGGTGGGTTGTGGAGGTTAAGGCCCCTCCCTGGTGTCAGGATGGCAGATGTGCCAGCAGTCAGGTTGTGAAATGGCCCCCAAAAGTCCATTGCTTATTGTCCCCCTCACTGCCTCAACCAGGGGGAATTCTCTTTCAAGTTTCTTCATCCATTTACCCAGCAAAAAAAGGCCAGAAACTCCTTCCCTCCTGCCCGATAGGTGCTATATTCCAGGATGAGAGCAGCTTACCTGCTCCCATCCTGGAATATATGGGAACTTGATAAGTCCTGGGTGATTTTAACATTTATCTCACACACTCCACTCAAATATTTAACTTTGCTTTCCTCTGGAAGAGTATGGTTGCAGGCTCAGCAATAAAAGGTGCAATTCTGCTCCACTTAATAGCTAACCAGTTTCCTGTTTGCATTATCACCACGTAAATACCCCTCAGTAAGAAGGGCATGATTTTTCTGTGTTTGTATGGCAGAATTGCAGCAGCTTAAAATTCTAGTTTTTAAAAAATATATCCGCTTTTAAAGATAATTCACAAAGCAGTCTAAATAGTACTCCCTCAATCACTTTCCTCCATCATTTACTAGCACGCTTTGATCAGATATAAATGAAGCGTCACGTTTCTCTGCCCTCATCAGATATCTACAAGATCTTGAAAACCAGGTTTGCAACACAAATATGTGAAATTGCTAACTGTAATTTTCTATTAATATTCCTTAGTATTTGAAAAAAAAACAATGCTAGTATGACAAACATTTGAGTAACAGTTATGAAAATTCTTGTGCAGACTGATCAGGAAATGGGGCAAATACAGTCAAAGTGGTTTCTATCTGAGGAGTTGAATAAAAATCTTATTTCTTTTTCATTTACATATTTATTCATCTGTAGTCAGAGCAGCAGCATTAACTGCAATATGTTGACAGGCACTTCATTAGCTTTACTTTGAAGTGAAAGCTCATCAGAAGGTAGATATTTGAGAGAGTGCCTGGAAAGAGAGACGCTGGATCTGAATCCTGCACCTATTGAATGTTGTGGTTGCTATTTGTTAGGTCAAAAGGAAAAATTACACAACTGAATTATACAATTATACACCTATTTGGAACAGACAGTAGCGCTGATTCTCTATCCTAGCAAAAAGCAAAGAGTGTCAGAAAGAGACAAAATCATTGCAGAAAAAAAAAAGACAGAATCCTCAAAGCAAGCTGAGTTTGAGTCTAACCTGTAGTCTAAGGACATTTTTTTGACTTTTTTTTTATTTTACCACCTATCTTTTTTTTTTTTTTTTCTTTTTCCCCCAGCTTCAAGCTGACTGGGTCACCAAGGTCTTTCATCAAACGAAATATAATGTTATTCTCTGTCAAGAAAATCCAGTAAAGCAACATCACCTTTTTTTTAAGTGAGGATGCAATGCTCAAGCAGGCAGACTTTTTTTTTTTTTTTTTAAATCCTTAAGACCAATTTCAGTTTCTACTGCAGAAATCTTGCAAAAACATTTGGTCTTGGGAAGATTCCAGATCCAAGAATTTCTAACTAAGCAGAAATGCCTCATTTTACTAAGTTTAAAGTCAGATTTCACACATATTGTAGTTCCATGCATTTAGGTACATGGTTTAACTAACCCTTAATATTTTTGGTAGCAACCACAACCTGCTCAGAGTTGTAAAGAGTTCTCTGTGCTTTCCATTCCCTGATATAAGCAGCTTTATTTTAATGATAATGTAGGATAAATTGAACCTAACATTATAAACAAACAGAAGTGAAAGACACAGCTTTGCTACAAGGTTTATACCCTTGAGATAGTTGAGATCCCAGAACTTCACGTGAAGATTGTTGCAAGGTTAAAATGACACAGGGTAGTTACCTAGACCTCGTTTACCTTAGCTATAATACGAGATATGGGGAGCTGGTGTTCACTGTGAGCAGAGCCTATGTTATACAGAGCAGTAAAATATCTATAGCTACATTGGTTTGGGGTAATCTTTCAAAACAAGGTTTTGAAATCTTACCAAAAGCTTATCAGATTCATATCTTTTCTGAAACCAGCCATCACTACCAGTCACTCCCTCCCCGGAGTGATTTTTCACTATTTTTCTGCAAGAAAACTTTCACTTCCTCCATGCTTTTCCTTTCTTTCTCAAATACACAAAAGGCCTTGTTACTTCATTATGAAAATACTGAACTTCAGACCAGATTTATTACTTGGTTTTACACTGAAACTGCATACAACCATCTGCCAGAAGGCCTCTTCTTTTTTCTTATTTCATCCTGATGTTCAGCATACATCCTGCTTCTCATCTCTGTTTTCAAATACGCCAGACTACTCAGACGGAGGAGGAGGTTTCCGTAGCAATAACAATGATATAAAAACCCTCCCTCTCCCTCTTCTTCACAACTTTCCTCTCATTCCAAGTACCTGATTCAGCCAATTCCACAGGAAATTAAGTTCCAAGTAACAAACGTTTCAAGATTAGATTGTTTTCAAGCATGTTTACTCTGTAAGCAGCTAAACACCACTTTTTTTTTTTTTTTTTAAACATGAGCAGTATACCCAAACTGGATCTCCAGTATCCCTGCCCAGTAGGGAGAATACAGTTAAAGAGGCTGCAGGGCTGGCTGCTCCGTCAACATCTGTGTGCTTGGAAGCATTTCATTTCTGGGATTTGAACTTGAACAGAAGCCCAGGAAAGTTATCCGACATACAGTGATTCAGTAAAGTTTAATACAGCTCTTCTCTTAAATGAAATGAGAAAAGAATAAGCCTTCAGCTTATAAAGCGCTGAGGATCATGGAAACAGGAACCATGTTTTCAAAGTTGGCCCTAATTTTAGTTAAGGTCATTATTTAACCTGAGAAAAAAATATGTCTTCCCAAGCAATCCACCTCAATCCCAGAACTTAATGACTGATCCACACGGGGTATGAAACTTTTTACAGTGAGTAAGAATAAACCCATCAGATTCCAGGTTTTCAGACATCTAGAACTAAATCAAACAGTTCTCGTAAAAATGAAATGTGTTTTTATAGCTATAACTCTGTTAATGATACAATTTGGTAAAGAATGCTATAACGTCTGTAGGATTTTTAACAAGTGCCTTGAATTCACAAAGTCATATTCCCTCTTCCATAATATCATTCAAAGACAGTACCGGCAGTTTTGAAAGACTACAGTTTTATAAGACTCTTCTGCAGGAGTCTAACCGCCGTTATTAGCCGTGCGTATGTGCGGCTGCCCAAAGCTCACGTATGCATTGGTAACTGCATACATCACTTACGCCCCTCATACCCGTAGCACGTGGGACATGCTCAGCTACACAGACCCGATGCTTTACTCTGTGCTTAGCAATAACTCTAGACGCCGCATGGAGATGGAGCTGTGGGACGGACCAGCTCCGAAATCCAGACGTACCTTTTTCCAAAAGAGCTTGCTCAGTGGTATAGGAGTGGATGCTGCTTTCTCCTTCGTCACCTCTTTGGGGGCTTCGGTGGCCGCTGCCTGCGGTGGGGCTGCAGGCTCGGGGGCTTTTATATTCTGCTTAGCTGTCTGCGGCTCTTGAGAGGAAGGGACGTTTTTGTCTGATTTTACAGAGGTAACAGGCTGCTGTTCAGTGCTCTAGAAAGAAACAAGAACACGCATGCTATTGGAAACGTGCGAAGAACAAGATACTTGCAGCACATTCAGGCGTCACCCGGTAGGAGAGGTAAGCGTGTGGTGGACCCCCACGGCACAGGACACACCGACCAACAAGGTGCAGCTCGTGAGCCACACCGCCTTGTCCTCATAAATGAAGTCATGTCTTGAACGGAGGAAGCAAATTACATAGCAACTCACCCTTCCTAACAGAGATGAGCAATTGATTAAGAAATTAAAACAGTGTCTTTGAGACTGAAAATGACAGGGAGAATAATTACTCTTTGACTGCATTATTCATACAGATAACTTGAATCATCCTACTCACTTTGGTATTAGTTGTCTGTTGGGTCTCTTTTGCAGCCTGGAGGGAAACAAAACACAAAGACAAGTCTGTCTCTGGCAATGTCAGCGCTCACAGTTACACAGTTCAGGAATTGTCTGTGTCACAAATTATTTTATTTTTAGTGAGTGTTTGTGAAAGTCCCGGCTCCTGCAACCATGGAAACTGCTCTGGCAGAGGCGCGGCTGCCCGAAGGGGCTGCCAGCTCCCGTCCTTCTACCTGCACAGCCGTCTGTTGGATTGCTTTGTGCTCACGCGACGGTGCTTGCAGTCCTCAACTGGTTCTTCAAAAATAACACATAACACATGAATTCCCAGTTTCTTCAGGTAAGACATTGCACAGGGTTTTAAGGTATTAGCATAATTTTGTTTTTCTGAGCTGGGTCTGCACATGCAACTCCCAGTGCACACATACAAGCCAGAGCTGGGTCCTTCCCACTAGGGGAATGGCATACCAGTCAGGGATGTGCTAACATTGCCTTCAAGGCAGGAGGCTTTGCTTTCAGGGATACAAAATATTGGCTGAGGACTGCCTGGAAATGAAGGGCACAGAACAGCAGTGGCCATATACCTTGGAAGCAGGAGTGGCAGCTCTGCGGGTGCTGGAGGTTGGTTTAGTCCATGCACTCACTTTTGTGCGTTAGAGGGGATTTACTCTTCTGTAAAAAATCTTTCAGTGATGGGTCTCCTGGTTTCATCGAAATACATGAAGCCAGGAGGGATCGAGTCTGTTAAACTCCTTTCTGGCCAGTGATAGATATCAATATCTATTGACCCTAACACCCAACTTAGTTTACATTGAAAATGAGTATCTGAGCTGTACGAAAAGAGGAGCAGCAAGCCACAAACTCCAACAGGAGCCCAGCACCCCTGGGTTTAGGCAGCCTGCCACACGCTTTGCAGATTTCTTGCGTGAATAGGTGAGAGGTGTTTTGCAGGAGCCAAGGACTTTTTTTGTGGTTAACTCCAAAGAACAAGATCCAGAGCAAGTGGTAAAAAGCAATGTAATGCCATGAGCTGGCTCCAGTACTAATGCTGAACATAAGTGATTAACCCTCCAAGTCAAAATTCCATAAATAAGTAGAGTTATACTGCAAAACTAGCATGCAACGGAAGGGAAACACACCTGCATGGGAACAATAGAATTGATAGGGACCCTGCTGTCAAATGCCATCCAAACTTGTATGTTATGGATTTCTATTAGGATGCACATTGATGTTTGAAAACAACATTCACAAAATTGCTTTAAAGTTAGTATTGATGTAAACACAGGAGACCGGAAAGTAATGTTTGTTAACATACTCGTAAATATTTTCTTAACTAAGGTACTGACAAGTGCATTTTGGAAGACTTGCAGAGACAGAACTTTCAGAGGAGAGTGAAGTGCTTAAAATTAAATATGACTGCTATATTAAAGTGATCATTTCAAATAAAGGAATTCATTACCTATTCATCTAGTTGACACATCATGCAAATGCATTTCAAATGAAAAGAGAGAAACCACCACTTTTTTTTTAAAAAACCAAACAAACTACAGGTGATAACTTCAGGGCTTGTCTGTCACATCACCGCTCTGATTTGAATCTCCCCTTTCAATCAGCCTTACAAGCAAACTGGTGGCACCATTTTAATCCATCTCCTTTATTCTTAATATGTCATAAATGATATCCTACTTATTACTTCTGTATTTTGTATGTGGAAAAAATCTGAAAATAAACTTAGAAATGAGAAAAACGCTGTTTAAAAGTAATGGTATTTTTCTAAGACAGATTTTATTGGTGTAAAAATTAAGTGCTGTTGCATTCCTTTAAGATAACTGCTTTCATTCCAGACCAAAAGTCTTTAAAATTCCATCAAATAGCCTAATGAAAACCAATCAGCTCTCCCAACAACTCATTGTGAGGTTTTGAACTATTGGAGAAGAGACTTAACACCTTAAAAAAATGCTAGCCAGGACTGGTTTTTATCAGGAAGCTCTAATTCATTATGAACAAATAATTCATATTTTAATTGTATTAACTATCAAAACTGTTAACTATCAATGTAGTATATACAAGATGAGATCTTAACTTTAAGCTTTTGGCAAGGACTATAGACTTAAAACCATTTGGAAGATTATTCTTCTTTCAGTAATACATAGATGGCATTTTTTTATCTCAAAAATGAGACAGTGGAAAGAACATTTTTGTTTTGAAAATGTCTTAAAGAACTCCCTTTGCCTCATGCCCTTGATTATAAAGCCCCCTACTCACCAGAAATTCCATGTGGGTGTTTTGAGTGAGCATTAAATATTAATTACTTTCCTCCCCCAGTGGAAGGGTCTCTGCTTGTGCATTCTTTGGGCTGAAAAGCTACAATTCTCTGCTTTCCTGCTGCAGAACATCATGGCAGATTATCTTCTTCAGAGAATGCAGAAGTGCCCAAATATGGAACTTAAGACTAAAGCTGATTAAAAGTTTTTAGTGCTTTTTTTTTTTTTTTTTAAGATAAAAGCTAATACCCTCTAAAACAGCCATTTGTATTAAAAGCATGCATTTTGAACAACTTTAAAGTATCCTTGGAAATCCAAACTTTTTCCACCCAAACTAAAGCTAGAATTCAATCAACAATTACTTTTCTTGTTTTCAGTGAAAAAGCAACTATTTCTGAAGGAAATTCCATGTTCCAACCTTCTCTGTGCCATATCAGACGCCCCAGTTCACCAAACCATCAATTTTAACTACATGGCAGTGCATGTTAAGGCAATGTGGATCACAAAGCTTTAACTGTAGTTGGAGTGACCTGCCCTACAGCGGCAGGCACTGTTCATATCTGCATAATTCATTGTTTGTCAGTACCTTTCATTTTATTTTTATTTTAAGTGGCCAGGGAAGTTTAGTCAGCATTAGTAGGTGTAACTGGGAAGCAGGTAGTGGGGAAGGTTAGCGGAATTGTTTCAGAATCCTGAATTCACAGATGGTATAACAAGAGAAACATTGCAGATGAAGATTGTTTTCATAACGTGTGGCACAAATGCTCACACCAGTAGTTTTCGGAGCACTGCACAGCTGGCCAGATGCTGCTTTCAGTTACCAATTAAATAACTTCTCACTGTGACAGAAGCCATCTGTTACTGCTCAGGGTTCTGCTCTTGCTAGCGTTTCATACAGACCTTATGCCTAAAGAGTTTGCTAAATGTACTGTGTCCTAGCTTGGGACTCTCTGCCTTCTTTTTCTTGGCCCCTTTAGTTTGGGATTCTGCCGCTGTCTTCGGAGCAGGCTGCCCACCATGGCCTTTTTCCGCTTTCGATCCCTTTTGTACAACAGCATTTGAAGTTGAGTATTTACTGCAAAGTTCTCATTTGGTTCATGAAAAACATTCAAACACTCATGTAATACCATTAAACCCAAACATTTCCTTTTTGCCCTGGACAACAGATTATGTTTTCTTCTAATTACTCAGTTCTCCGCCTACTTTCTTTCACATGAGTAGTAAAATATATAAGAGCTAGGACAATCCAGTTAACTCAAAATTAAGCCACAATTTGCCCCCCAAATTCTTCATTAAATTAAAACCCAAATCTCACAAAGACCGAGACTTCTGTATTCAAATTCATGAGTAATCAACTAAATTTGGGATTTGTGAGTTTAAAACAGGCAGATACATGAATCTCTGAAAATACCTTGATTCTTTTTATTGCAGTATTTTAGGGACTTCAAAGTGTTTTGCATAATACGTTATTTAGGAAGATGGGAGTATGAATATTCACAATACATGCTACATACACTATTTCAAATTTGCAGTAACATTCATGAAATTGGTTAGAAATGAAAGTATCAGAAAAATAGTAATGATAGACTGATACCAAAATCATCGAATCAGAAAGTGCTGCTTCCTTTTAATTCCATTCGAAGTATTTGCAGGAGGCACTTGTTTTGGGAATCGTTCCCTACTGATATTAGAGACTGGAAAAAACTCTCTAAAAAACTAGGCAGCACATTGAAAAAAATCCACTACAAAGGGCTATAAAATGTAGAAACACTGATAGATGTCTATACGGGGAAAAAAGTAGTATCAGGTTATTTTTTAAAAGTGGTAGCAGACTCCCTGCAGCTCAATGCAGACCAAGTTACCCTGCTGAGGGTAGAGGTGGGCCTATTCAAATACACGGCATTTCTACAAGTCTTGGAAAAACTTGACTAACATTTGCTAAAGTCTTCCATTTACTTTTTCCCAGCATTGGAATTTTGTTTTAAAGAATCGTAATTCAAGTACCTCCTCAAAACATCACTCTTCAAGTTGCTCTTGCTGTCCTCTCCCTCACCCCCCCAGTCTTCAACACAACCATCTGGATTTATCAGTGGAGGAAAAAAAGCTCAAGTTTCATGTAATGAAAAATATGGGTTCCCCCCCCCTCCTTCCTCACCTTTTTCATCTTTTCAAAAGTAAAAAAGGAGGGGGACACAAACCCACAGGTTTCCAGGGTTGCTTAACTGAGCTTCAACATACAAACAAGTTAACACAAGAGGCTGTTCCATGGTAACTGCAGTGTACCAATGCCCATAACATATGACTAATCACAAATACTATGGGGTAGCATTCTTCGCTCTTCAGTGCCGTGGTGTGATGTTTTAAAGGAGCGAGATGCCTTTGATTACCTAGTACAAAGGAAGATGTAGTGTTTCTCTTACTTACTACTTGCTAGTATCCTGGACTTCATTCTGATCTCCCTTAGGCAATTAAAATCCCAATTTAATTAAGAATCACACTAATATGTAGTGAAGAAAAAAATTTGTAAAGTTGTATTTCAATGACAAATGACCCAAGTGTTCATCCCCTGGGTAATTAGCTTGTCTGTTTACAAGCTTCAGTCTGATTTCTTTTACACTTGAACAAGGCAAAAATAAAAGCTTCCATCTTAGCAAAAAGCTTCGAAATGAGTTGACAAAAATTTCCAGGAACTGCAGAAGTGTGAAGGGACCCAAACTCCAAAGAAACAATCAGCCTACAGTATTTACAATGTGAAGTATCAAGCACTGTGGTTGACCACAACTAACAGGTCATGAGGAGAGGTCCAGAACACAGAATGTAACACGTATGGGCAGGTGAAGTCGAGACATTGGTCTCAGCATTGTTTTGTTCAGTGCAATTACTGTTTCGTTCAGTGCAATTACATCCTTCCTACAAAGTGCTTTGTACTATGAAGAGGCTGTGACCAGTCGCCTTAAAATTGGCCATTTCCCCTTGTACTCTGTACCACTCCCAGTATTCCCAAACATACAGCAAAGTGGGAACAAGTCAGGATCTGCTGCAGAAGGGTCACATAGGTGGTTCGGGGCAGATGCGATCCAAACGCTGTGCTGGGTAGCATAAACTTGCAAAGCAGCAATTAATCCAAGGAAGTATGACTCAACTCACATTAAACTCTTGTGTTTACATGGATGGAGTGACAATCATTAAGGGTGTGCCCGGGCTGCTGAAGGCATACGTGCCTTTAGCCAGCTGATCAAAGCCAGAGGCATCGCAGATGACAGTGCGTTACTGCAAAAAACCCCTAGTTCAGCTTCGCTCTGCGTTTCAGCAGTAGGGAGTGCTTTTTTGCTTTTCGCTATGCCATGCTGAAGCGGGCTGTAGCTATTTCTCAGATTTATGGGAAAGCTTGTCTGTCCTCTGAGCCACGGGAGAGCACTGCTGCGAGACACTGGGAACGTCCCAGCCCTTGTGTGATAAAACCCGGCTCCTCCCTGCCAAGGGGCTGCGCCAGCAGCCAAATTGAGAGTGGGACTGGGAGCCAAAGGCACAGCGGTGCCTGGGCCAGCCAAACCACACCGGAGCCCCACGGCACTCAGGAGAGGCTCTGGATGCACACAGGGGAAAGCCTCACCTAGGAACACATATTTACCATTAGCACAGAAATTATTTCTCAAGGGAAAAGTGGCCATTATTAAATTATATAATATCAGCTGGAAAATCTGCAGCTTTTCTATATAGCAGTCAAATTAACCTTTTTGGCATATTTTAATATAGCAAAAAAATCTTTGTATCAGGAAAACACTAGTGAAGATAAAGGAATTCTTCATAAAAAAAAACCAACTCCCATTTAGCTTCTATATAATGAGTTTGCATATCCTGCTAGTCATCTGGATTTGTTTACCCTCACAGGTGTGATCGCAAACCAAACCCAAACAGCATATTTGTTTCCAAATTACAGCACACCTGCACCAACAGTCACCTGCTACAGAAGCACATGGGTGCCTTTGATAAAGTCAGGTATGCAAACAGGACTGAACAACTGGATTTTTCACGAGTTGTTGAAAGAGCTACAAGTCTCACTGGGATAGTGCAATTGGATGGCTACCTGTTCTGGATATCTTGGAAGTCCTGGTTGACGATTTACAGAATTACTCAGCTATAATCAGGGAGAGATATGTACCCCCATATACTCATCAGCTTTCTGGGAAGACTGACTTCACCATTTTAATAATATAAAAAATTAAATTGGACAAGAGGGATAAAAAAATGGGATGAAAACAAAAATGTAGATGCCAATTGGGATTTTTGGCTACCTAATAGTTGCATGGAAAGTCCATTTCCTTTTTTTAGGGCTTTATTCTTCATGCATTACTTAATTTTTATCACAGATATTGTGAGAAAAGCTTTAGTTATTTAAGTCCTAACAATGTGTAAGGACATTTAATCTGGAAGTTCCCAGTTGTTCAGACAGTGACATGCCTGTAGTCCACTGAAACACCAGAAGATAGAAAGCAGCTTAATACAAATCATCTTAGTTCTGCTTCTGTTGAAACTAGTTCAAGTTTTGGCACCAATTTAACAGGAAAGAAGGGGAAAGGAGAAGTCTTTGAAAATGCATATTGTTCCATTTTAAAAGATTATGTTTTCAGCTTCAAATTTTTACAGTTTAAAACAAAAAAACACTGGGGAAAAATATAAAGTTTGGCAGATACATTGGATCAACCTGATGTTTTCAATATCTCTAAAAAAATAAAAGTATAATAATGAAACTTCTCTGAATTTGCGTATAGGACTATTGCTGCTCATGGATGCTAAAAACAAGTTTCCTCTTGCCAGTGGAAGCCAAGAACAAACAGTTCGTTAAAAGGAAAACAGGGGCTGCGTCTGCCCATTACACGGAGGAGCGTTTCTCAGGCTGGTTCTGTACCTGTCCAGCCAATACAGGTTTCAGCTCCTCCTGGTGGGAACATCACATACACTTGCAGTCAACCTGACATGGTGTATTAGAACAGACTAAGTGTTCAATACACTCTGCTTCAAAAAACCCGATCCTCCTCTCTGCACGTAAAAGACTCCTGAGCAGTGGTGGAAGGGCAGCTCTCCCTGCGGGTGCCAGTCCTGCCCACAGCAGGACAACCAAAAGCAGGACCAGGTCATCATCAGCCTTACAGAAAGTGCTACGGTTCAGATCTTGATTGTAATGTACGATACGAAGAATTGTACTGTTTATGCTCATCTTCCTTTCAAATTTATTCAGGGGAAAGATATTTTAATTACTTCAAATGATATCATCAACTGGGGAAAAAGCCACACAACAAAGAGAAAAATACCCGAGTCAAGAACATCTAGTGATCAGTGACAGAATGAGGAATCTGCCTACCTTGTCTTCAGAATCACTTTTGGCTTCAGCTTTGCTTGGGGAGACCTTAAATATATTCGAGAAAAAAAAAAAAACAAACACCACCAGTCACACCCAACTCAGTCTTTCAAAAGATCTGAAAGCTCATCTGTTTGAAACTAGCAGGTTTTTTTCTAGCACAAATGTGAAAGTAGTGTGAAAGAAGTACAAATATTGCTTTTCCTCCCCGTGTGGGAAAGTTTATAATATAAGTGTTTCTTGATTGCAACTTGAAGTCAACAGCTAAAATGAAAAACATCTGGACAAAAGTTATAATATTTAAGCTTATACATCCAATTAATCTGTAAAAATGAACTTTTAGATATTTACAAAAAGTTTCAACATGCAGAAAATATTTGATACAGCTAAATAGCTCCAGGTCTACAAGTATCGTGCAGAAGTGGAAGTTTCTGGAGTAGGTCATCATCATTTGATCTTAACTGCACTGTTCCTACACACCTCTCTACCCCTCTCAAGTCAGCCTCCAAGGCACCTGTTTGGCTCCATTACTTCTCAGTGCCCTTGGCAGCAAACATGTTACACTTAGTTCAACATGTCCAACATGGGATTTTTATAAGCAATTAGCCTAGAGATGAAAAGGAAAGGCAAAAGCTTACCAATGTTTTAAGGAAACTCATGACGGAGTTGTCTACTGCAGCAATTGGTTGGGGGTTGTCTTGTTTTACCTCTGCCTTCTCAGGTTGCTCAGCAGTGAGACCGTTGACACCTGCCGAGTCCTGCAGTAGGTCTTTTTGGTTGCAGGCATCTATCTCCTAAAAAAAAGAAAAGAAAGAAAGAAAAAAAGAGGGCAGAGTTTCGCCAGTCCTAGCTTGCTTAATTTCCAGTGGAATGCAAAAGTAACATTTGTGACTTGCATTATGTTGCTCTGAGAGTCACAACCCTAATTCCAACCATACTTCTCCAGCCTACATATTCAGAACAATTGAGCATTTATACATCTCTTTTGCCCTCTTTTCTAATATATTCAGCATTTGCCATTGGTTGGAGGAACATTGTTCTCTGCTACCAAGTATAACAAACACAAGTAAAGTTGCACACGGCATCCCAAACAACACCGCTTTTCTCTTTTCAAGGCTGAACTTGTGAATAGGAACAAACACTGAGATTTTGGCCTTTGGTGGCTCAGTGTCTGATTGTATCACACAAAGATTGCTTCCGATACTCTGTATTCTGCAATTCCAGAAATAATTTTTATCTAGCAAACACAAACATGGTACAGATGAAAAGAATGAAAAAAGCAACAACCCAAAGTAATTCTTCTGAGCCAGATGGAGCTGCCGCCTCTCTTCCTGGAATACAGTTCCCAGAGCCCAAAAATAGCTTTCCAGTGCTCAAGCACTCACAAGTATGTAATATACTCAGTTTCTGTTCAGACACCTAACAAAGGGTCTTTTTTTTTTTTTAAAAAAAAAAGACCAACAAAAAACCACCACCCTTCTCTTAGACCAGTTCTGGAGAGCATGGCACCCTTTTACCCTGAGTTTGCCTGCCATTCTGGACACTGTTGCCTTAAGCCGGCCCAGGTAAAGCCAACACAGACATTGTGCATGACAGAGCAGCTCGAGACAAGGCCTTATGTCCTTTTTTAAATATTTAAATGGCCCTACATCTTGCTAGTATTATCCGAGTCCGTTACCGATAATTCTCCTCCCTTTTGTCTACCCGTCTATATTGCAAGCGCAGGGCGGGATCTATCAATTGCAGCGGCCTTGACTTTGGTAGGAGGTTTGAGGCAGTATTGAATGGACAATCGTAGCAGTGCCATGTTTCTTTTGCAGAAGTTATCATCCCCAACTATTTAGACAGCTGTACACATCTGGTCACTTAAACAGTGACTAGAGAAGCAGCAGTCAGGATGCTAGATGCTCCAGATTACTACAGAGGAAAAAATAGAACAAGAAATAAAAAACAGATGATCCCATCTAGGTGTCCCCAGTAAAATGCATCTTTCAATCATTACCTCTCAAAGACCACCTGGAGGTTTAAGTGGCACCAAGAATATTTTCCAGACCTGCCAATTAGACCTACTTGTTCAGAGCCATTTTTACTAGGAAAATTTTACATCGTAGTCTTGAGAGTTTTCCCCTGTACCAGGAGATTTGAAAACAGTATATGTATAGGACATACATTTCTGTAGGTCACTAATGGAAAGAGTACACTAAAGATGCACAAATGAGTGAAAACTTTGAAGGGCTAATTTGACATCAAGAAAGATGAGCATGGAGTGGCCAGTCTCCATGCAGCATTTCAGGAGTTAAAATACGCAAGATTTTACTTGCAAGAACAGACTTCTGTCTAATTCTCCACTCACTGTTTTCCAAGTTTACCCAGGAAGAAATGCAGCACAGTAGTTCAGAGTGCTTCAACAGGCTATTTAGAAGGTTTTTTTACAAGGGTCTAACACCACTTTGTCCAGCTGCCAGTTACAGGCCAGAGTGGCTCCAAGAACAATATGTCCCATGCAGAACATGCATGGCCACGCCAGCTCCAGCAGCCCTGCTTCCAGGGATGCCATCTGAAGAGCTCTGGCCATATGAAAAATGCTGGCTCTATTTCAGATATTAAAGGGACAACAAAGGCATGAGACAAAAGACCAAAGAAGCAGGAGGCAGAAGATATGTTGCGAAACAAAACTAGCTTCATTACTGAAGTGCTTATGCCATCAAACTCTCCACTAGTTAATGTTATCAAACAAAAATAAGCAAACTTTATTTTTATACACACAAGCCCAAACTGTGTTCAGGATCTTTTTGCTAAGGTCTGAGCGAACACAGCTGTTACCAGCAGCAGATACTACCTGGGGCAGCTGCAGAGGTGACAGGTACCACCAGCTGCCCCAGGTGACAGGTACCACTGGCAGCACCAGCTCTTCCAGGGTACGGCCCTGCTAAAGCCACACTTTGCCCAGCAGACCTAAAAGCCACTGGAGACTGTGCAGAGCTTGGGGTGTGATGTCACCCCAAAATCCCTGAACTCTGACTTGCAGAGCTCAGCTGGGCCCCATAATGACCCACTACTGCAGGAGGAACCCTACTCCAGCATTGCCAAGCCAAGGCTGCCATTAGCTACCCAGGTACAACTCGGATCTGGACTTTGATAGATGCTGCGATCCATCTCACGCTTTCATGGGAGCGCTGCTGTAGGAAAGGGCACAGACTCAGGCCATCAGCGTCAATCGGGGAGAGATAACGTGGAGTCCTACATTATCACATTTTCAGAGCCACAGTCAAATAACCACAAGAACCTCTGTAGCAGCTCACTGCACAGTACGCTGCGCAAAGCCCTGGAGGCAAATAATGAAAGACAAACTCTACAAATAACAGAAGAAAGCCAGTATTAGAAGTTAACAGATACTTCGTAAATGTTCAATTCATTTATTTGAGGAGCCAGATTTGGGGGTAATAAACACCTTAAACACTTATACAGTAGTTTCAGTTCAATCATTAGAAAAACATATCAAAAGAACGTATTCCTGCCAGCACTTTTGTTTGTATGAATCATGGCTCAGTGAAACATTTCAGGCATATAATTTATCTTTTCTTTGGCTCACATAGGAAATGCTTCATGAATTCATGAATTCTGTCCTTGTTTTAATTATGCTGCGTTCTGAATGTAGTTTTGTAGACCACAAAAAATAAAGAGTGGTTCACCAAACACAGAATGTTTGTGCAGCTCTTAAGCTACAACTGTGGAGCCTCTCTCTTACTTACCAGCAACGCTGTTTGTTTTGTGTTGGCACTCAATTCAGGGAAACTTTGCTTTGCTTTTAGCTTTTACAGATACTACAAGTCATAATCCACCAAAAAAAAAAAAAAAGAAAAAAGAAGCTGTTGGCAGCAATATCTGGATTTTTAGTATGATTATTTGGTAACAGTTTGTAGTTACTACAGTAACAGCAATTAAATTAGACTTGGTCATTCTCCCATCCTACATGAGAACTAGCAACTTTAGAAGGAACAGAAGGCAACTGTGCTGCAAGGCAGAGCCACAGCCTTTGTTTTAGAAATTGAGTTTAAACAAGTTTGGCAACATATCAGAAGTGTTTAGTTGATATATTTTTCCCAGGAAACATCATTAACTCCTCTCTGCCCCCAAGATATACTCCTTTTCATATTTGAAGAATGAAAGACAAATTACAGTCCAGAAATATAAGGATAAGGTTAAATTTCACTCTCCCCTGTGATATGGTTCTGCCACTCATTTACACTAAGCAACTTGAACCCCAATTTTGGGAGTCCTCAAAGATTTTCAGTGGTACAGCTTTAAGCACACGTGTAGAAGATGTACAGGCACTTCTGTTAAACAGGAGACCTGTCCTCAAGCAGATCCCCAGGCACCAAGAAGCTGTTATATGGGCTAGGATCCTGAAACACTTACGCACTCCCCAAACATAACCTACAGCTGATGAGTGCCCGGGATTTCCAGACTATTCCCATTAATGAGGTTCAGGATGTGGATAGGTATAACATTAAACTGCAACAGAATTCAAAATTAATCAGAAACCTGGGCATTATTGATATAAAAAGCTTGACTAGTTCTTCTAGTATCTGTTTGAACTGGCAGAATAAGATTTAGATTATCACTTCTGATAGTCACTCGTTACAAACACTTGTTGACTTGAGCTTTCCCAACATGACTATTTACTACCAGCAGATGTTTAACTGACTTCTGGTTAAAGCTACTTCAAATTGTTATTTCACTAGAGAGCTTCACACTGGACTACTTCAACAGCACCAACTGTGACCTTTCACGCTCTGTAGCTTGCAATCACAGCAAAATAGGAAATTATGAATTTTGCATTTGATTGTAAAAGTAACAATTCTTGCGAGCCACAGACAAAACTTATTCTTTGTGCATAGTAGTCAAAAATATCTGCACGAATTTAAGTGTTGAAAAGCTTCAGCCTTATAAGCTACAAACAGAAGTGCCAGTATGCACTGAACAGATTATCCATTCTGAATTATTCACCCTGTTCTGTTTATGTAGTGAATGACTTGATATTCTGCTAGGTTGAGACTACAGATTCTTTAAATGCGCATATATAGCTGTCTGAAATACTAGCGATGGGTGTGCTTTTGAAGGGCAACAATCAAAACCGCAACTGTTTAGTCTTACAAATGAATCTTCAGAAAGATATTACAATTTATAAGTTTACACAAGAAATGTGATTTTCAGATTTGAGGAGACATAAGATTAAGAAGATAAAGTAGAACAACAGAAATTGAAGAGGTTGAGACAACCTGCAGTGTTGTCAGTGCAAGCAGCGAGCACCTTGTGAACTATGTTCAACACTATTCAAAGAATGGGATGATACAGCAGTCTAATTCATAAGCCTGAACTAGGCCAATAAGAAGAGCTACTATAAAACAGCATTTACACATCGATTTGATGAGGGGGCCATGCTGCTCGTTTCTCCCTCCTGTTCCCAGTGTTGGACAGGATTTGAGCTAGCTCACCACTTAGTGTATACTGGCACCTCTCCAGTGAAGCTAATACGAGTTATGGCACTTATCTCCAGCCAGTCGACAGAATTTTCAGTAGTTAATTACCTGAAAAACAATCCTATAACATACTTGTTGGTATCAAACTTTGTAGGAAGTGTAAAACCTAAACTCACATCTGTTTTCAGCTCCTTTGATTAGTGTGCTCTCTCAGATAAGTTACTTAATTTCTTATATCACATTCTCATCCTGTAAAGTCAATTTTAAGTGGCCACTTTTCCTTGACTTAAAAAAAAAAAATAAATCAGAATAGCTAAGAGCACAAAAATTGCTACTGTGTAACATTCCTTATTCTGGTACGTAGGGTATGCAGCAAGCAGCTATTGCTGACGAAGAGTGACTATTTTAAGAATGGCACAAAGCATGCTAAAGAACTTCTTTAAACCCATCCAGCGTCAAACTCCAAGCTCCTAAAGCATAAGAGACAATTTTACTTTCAGGTATTTTTGCTTTCATTTGCTGCTGTTCATCACCCTGGCAGTTGGAGCACGAACACAGCCAGCTTGCCCAAACCTTTCGGAGAAATACAAATGAATTTAAACTCTAGGGCAGGGTTTAGCCGTGAGCAGGCGTCAGCGTTACTACCACTCCACCATAGGTCCTTCTCCCACACCTCTGTGCAGCCACCCCGCGGGGCGTTACCTGCAATGGCTTTAAGAGTAACACCGATTCATTCACACAGCCATCATGACATCAAGCTGTCCTGCGCTAATAATATTCCTAAGAGGTTTCATTAAGAGAGAAATGGATATTCCTACTCAAGCACTTGCCTTCCCCTGCGGGACACTGTTTGATGGGCTCTGTAATCCGGCAGCCTCCTTTGCTGGGATGTGCCCGTCAGGAAGGTCTGAAGTCTGCCTTTCCTCTTGGGTATCAATTTGCGTTTTACTCCTTTCCTTTCCCTTCTCCAGTTTGAAGATCCTGTCAAAGAAGGTTACTTGTTTTGGCTTTGAGGCAGCCGCATCCTCTCCCTCAGGTGTCACTGACGCTGCGAGATCGATGTCGTGAAGCGATGCTGCCGGCGGGGCCCGGGTCAGGTTTTTATGCGCGTCTTCCTCCCGCGCAGCTGCTGCGGGAACCTCCGCGCTGTCACTTGGGGCTTTGTTCACTCCGGGCGCCTCTGAGCTGACATCAAGTTTTGCCGATCCAACTGATGAATCTGTAGCTGGATCTTCAGTACGCCCTGGTACAGACCATGAAAATGCGAAGACAGAGCGGGATTTAGCAGATGGCAGAGCTCTCCTGGCAGCGCTCCCGAGACTCTGCCCGCCCGCATCGGGAACGGGGCTCTGCTCCATTGTCTTCAGGGAAGAAACGGCCACATTATCCCGTGCAACACTTGCCTTTGCATCCACTAGGAACAGAAGCATAAAACAGTAATTATCCAGCACAGCTAAGAAGTTATACTGGTTGTACAATTAATCGCGGTGACCTCGCTCTTTAATAAACTAATTCTGAAATGTGGAGCCTTGGGGAGGACCGCACAGAGTGCAGCTTATTTAGAGACCCCGTTGTCTTCCTGCGCTAAATACGAGCTGCCACTCATCTGTCAGACCTGCCAGTCTGATTCTCTTTCCTGTCATTCCTTATTGAAGCCGGTGCAAATTTTATCATCTCCACATCCCCCTCTCACCTGCCAGAGTCAGAGAGCAGCCCAGGTTTTTCACTACTTAGCCCAGCAGGCATGCCGAGGTTATTTGACTTTCCAATTAAAGTTAGAGTGATATGCAAAAAAAATAATTAATCAATAAAACTTGAGAAAAAGTTATATATCAATACATTATGCTTTCCTCTGCCAGAGCTAAATGGGAAAAAGAATGGAAACTGTGAAGACTAATTTAGTTTCCTGACTTGCCAAACTCCCCACAGGGCTTTGCAGTCATAACTTCTTTCATTCATATTTCCAGTGCTGTTCCTTGCCTCGCTGCCTACTCTCCACAGTGCAGTTTCTACTTGCGCTCCTCCTCTATTGTCTGTAGGTTAGTTTAACCCTGATTTGAATACTTATAAATCACGTCTGGGCCAGGCTTCTTATCCTTATGTTTGACTCTTTTTCCCCCCCCAAAAATATGGTTCCTAATCACATTTCCCCCCCTCAAAATTCTCACAGATAGTTCCCCTTTGTGGACACACATGGCAATCATACTTCAGATGTGAAGAAATCTTTCATCTGAAAAGTATATTTTATGATTTTATATTACAATGGCACTTTGATAATACAGCTGAGGTGAAAATCCCTAATACTGTATATGCAGACAGGAGGAGAAGGCTCCTGCTTTACAGAAGACAAAAGAAACAAGAGACAAAAGCAAAAAAATAAGTCTTTCCTGTATCTATTTTGTGGATGGGAGACTGAATCACAAATTATGTGGTGTGAAACCCCAGTAAACAAGAGGAGGCTTGTCGAGAGGTAAACCTTACAGCTTCCCCTCAGCTTGAGCTTCTCTTCCCTACTTTGGCTAGAATATATATCCAACTTCCCTGTCAATCACCACCACAGATTTCAAGGATGAATTTAGATCTACTTAATTATAACTGTGAAAAACTGACAGTCTCAAACCAGCTTGCTAAATTAGAATTTTTAAATTGTCAGTTTCAGTGTAAAATTGAAATTTTTTCAAATGATAATTGTAATAGTCTAGTCAATATTATGCCCGTCACATTTGCTTTAACAGAAATAAAAACCCATATACCAACAAAACCTGACTAAAATGCCTGTCTTCCGCAGTACACATCTCCAGTGTTCAGCTTCGTTTTTTTAAATTTCTTTTTAAGATAAGGAAAGTAGAACACTTAGATCACAGCTTTCAAAACTACCTCTTTGCTTTGCACAGCAAAATTACCCCAGCTTTCCGCTGTTTACCCCAATTGCCCCAAAATTACCTCAATCCTTTCCACTCCTGCAAGGATTTTGCATAACAAGACGCAAGCACCAGCAGGCGCGGTATAACATGGGTCCGTACCCATTTCATACTGTCCTCCCGCAGCAGTGCCCAGAGGAGGACATCCTGGTGACATCCAGCCCTGACATCCCCTTCCCCACGGCCTGAACTCGGTGGCCCAGAGTCCCCGCCGGGCCCTTGTTTGGGTTGGTCCTGACTAGCAGGAGGTGGGAGCTTCCATAAACCCGAGAGATGAGTGCCGGAGGGCGCCAGCGTGAGTCTCCAGTGACTTTACCGCAATAGGTGCCAGCAGTGGAGGCAGCAGCCACCAGTCAGGGCTGTGGTGGCAGGATTCACAACTGCAGCCAGCGCTTTACCAGCTGCTGGGGAGCCGGCTCCTAACTTCTCTACTTCTAACATTTTTAACCTGACATTTGCTTTCTTATTGTGTTTTGTGCACATGCAAGCATGCAGAGAGGCCAGAGTGCCTCGGTACAACCCGCTCTGTCCAGGTTCAGAGATTTTCACTTCTTTGTGTGCACTCTAATAAAGAAAATTTCTTTCCCTGCATTCTCTCCGTTACTATTCATGTAAGAAAATAACTCACCCTGGCAAGAATCCTTTGCCAGTAATATTCTTCTGCAATATTTCACGAGCACCTATTTCAACATACTGACATGGAAAGAAAAGGTACAAATAACTACCCACTCAACCACCTATTCCGCTATTCAGTCAGGGCCGCTAAGTATCAGTTATAGTTTCCTAAGCCTCCTGTAGTACTATATCAAAAAGAACTGCAGCACTTACTTCTAATTATAGTTGGAAACTTGGGAAGGAAGTAAAAAGCTAAAGCTTCCCCAGCTGAAGAATGCAGAAACAATATCCATTGGAAAATAATTGTAATAGATGCTGAACTTCTGCTTTATGTAACAGATAAAAAAATGAAACACAGGAAAACTGTCTTTAGTACAAAAATAGGAATAGAAGCTCATCGTTAAGAAAACCAACCAAACAAAAAGTAGCTCATGAACCTATCAAGGTCCTTTTATCTCTAATTATCATGGAAGGAATGAAAGACCTGGAAAATATCACCGACGTGAGCTCTGCAGCATGTCTCTTGTGTCAAAACAGTTCAAACTCTTTCAGGGAAAGTCTGCTCAGACACCGGGCGAAGCAGATCCCACCACCAGAGAGGAGACACTGCTGTGGTGGGCTGGACAGAAGAGTTTGACTCATGCCATATTCACAGCAATCTGATGGAGAAAGGCTTTGAAATTACAGTATTTGGATGAAAAGCGCATTATATTTTTGTTTTTAAAGTGACACAGAAGTGCCATTCTTCCCAAAATTATTCCACAATCCAGAGGCAGAATTAGGAATAGAAGCAAACCCTCCCAAATTCTAGGCCAGGCCTGCACGTAGATCAAAGCTGCTCACTCTGAATGAGATTAATAACTGCTCTGAAACAAAGATCAATATACAATTTACAGCACTGCTGTGAGATTGCATTTCATACTACTGCTACACAGGCTTTTTCCTTTCAAGTATTTAACAAAAGACAGTCACACTACACAAGATTTGTCCTTCCTTTCCCTTCATCAGAATGTGTTGAAAAAGCAATAATATAGCTGCACAAAGTCCCTCTTCTGTAAGAACACACCCAAAATAAGCATTTTTTTTTTCAGAAATTCACTATACTAGACTGACATTTTTTGCCTTGACTTAAGAAAAACTGTACAGAGAAGAGTAATGGTTAGTGCAATGTTATGTCAATACCATTTCCCTGCTCAGAAGTAATTGCTGACAGACTTTCTCCCCCTTCCTTTCACATCCTTGACCGTCGGATTTTAGGCACTTCCGTAGGCTGAGGATGAAGAACAGCACTAAGTTTGCTGACACAGAATGGCACCAAGTCTGCAGAACTGGCCACTGGATTTTAAAAAACAAGTGCTTAGGTTTTACTAGACAGAGCCAGCAAGTGAGATATTATAATGGACAAAGCCTTAAGGCGAGCACAGGCTTTGAGTTGCCCATGCGAGCTGCAAAACTGACCACATAGGAATGGGATTATTTCTGTTCATTATGGGGCGTAACGTACCCAGAAGCCCACAGGCAGGCAGCAGAGCTCAGAAAGCATCGGTGTAGAGCGCCTGCAGTGAAGCACCGATTTCACATGTGTTTGGGACCGAGATGCAGCACTCGGCCAGAGGGAACGGCAGATGCAGGCAGGTTTCCTGAGGATGCAGCTGACATGAAGGGAAGTTCAAGAGCTGCCAGGCTGAAATAAATGAAAAGGCTGCCCGAGCTTTTGTCAGCTGATTTGCTTTTGCTAATCAGTGGGAATTTAACCAGACTTCAACCTGGTGCACATAGCAGATGGCAGCCAAACTCCCTCAACTGGGACCAAAACCAACTCTGTCCAGCACTTCCAGATTGCCTTCCCCCCTCCTCCACAATAACCTGATTTTCTCTGAAGCTTAGTTTGCTCTTTTTATTCCTGGCAGCAGCCTAAGCCACGTACTAGGTAGGCATCTATTTTTGATGCTCAATTTGCCCAAGTCAAATCCTTCAGATGCTTTCTTAAGACATGCTCCTTTTCCTTAGCCTTTGATTGCTAGTCTGGTTTCAGTAGTTATATGCACCCTCACAGCTAATACTTACATGTAGGAAATATATAAAATAAGGTCCTGTGATGTCTTACATTGGCAGTGTCTCACCTCCTGCCATTTCTCCTACTGACTCTTTCATAGTGCCAGTAATTTTTAGCTGTTGAATGAGGAGCAATGTGAATTGGCAAGGTCTTCAGCAGAGACTTCTCTTCCTGTAGGCCACTACCATGCGAACACACCATAAAATAAGTGCTGGGAGAAAATGTTTTCTGATGTTTTTGCTTTTGACAATAGAAAAAAAAATCAGGTTCTTTTTGAAACTGAACTGAGCAAGCCATTAGCTATAATTATGGTCTTAGTATCTTTAGCTATTTTGAATACAAGTCAGTCACAAACAGATATTTTACTTAGCAATGCAATTACTTTGTTCCCTGGAGTTTAGATAATCATGGAGACAATAGATTTTAATGGCCATGAAGGAACCATTAAGGGCTACAAGGCAACATTTGGCACTCAGAAGTCCATCAGGGTAGGCCAGCACAATGGATTATAATAGCCCTGAATGAATTACCGCAGCAAATACTAGGCTTAAAAGTCTAAATACCTAGCAACAAAGAGTGAATTTTCTAATTTAAATTTCTGACAATTTTTTATATATATTGTGTAGGTTAATTTTTCCTTGTGTTATTTAGAACTTGGTTGGTATCATAATGCTACAGTAGATGTAGAATGTTCAGATCTTCAAGTACACCCTGTGTTTTTATGGGGGACCCCCAAAAACTATTGTGACAAGACTAAATGATAGTTTTCAGAAGCATTAGAGGATTCCAAAACAAGACATTTTCACCCTTTCTTAAAAAAGAAAACACATACTAGTATTCCTTTACAATCTTTCTTGATTATTACATGCAAATGAAGTTGACAGTACATTTATGCTCTAAGAATAATTTTGTTTCACTGAGTTAAATAATATTGTCATTTACCTAACAGATTTACAGAAATTAATGGAAGTAGGGGAAGGGAAGCTAGCAACAAGAATAGCAATGATCATTCTTGAAAAAAAAAAACCAAAACAAAAAACCAAAAATGCATTGTGTTTCACACCTTACAGGCACACAGAGTTATGGCAATATACCCATTTCTATTAGATACTGCCTAGTAGCAGAATTCGCTGAATCAGATTTATCCTCTGGAACAAAGGAATTGCATCTTAACTGAACTTTTCTTCTTTGTGTAATCTTTCTTTTTATAAGCGAATCACGGTTCTACTCTGCATGTAATTACTACCCAAATACAAACAAAAACTTTTCCCACTTTGTCCTCCTGATACATTTCTGCTCTATGTAGTGCAAATCTCAGAGATATATGGTTTTTAGTTCCAGCCTTCTTCCCTTTACCTGTTGTCCACCAAGTACCTGTATTATTTAAAGTTCAAAAAGGCCAACACAAAACACTAGGAAAAGTCAGGATCACATTTGCTATCCTTTTGCTTGCAAAGCAACACGTCACAAAGCAGCAGTAAGGGCACCACTGCTGTTTAAATGGCATTACAGGAGGAGAAGGTGGATGCTAGCACTGTGCAATGTCTGCAGCCCTGATAATCAATAGGAGCAGGAAAGGCAAGTCATGGAAAGAATCCTTAAGTCCACACATCTGTCAGCCGTTTGAGCAGAAGCAGCAAATGTAGAGAACCGGTCACCAATCTGCTCCCCCAGATGTGAAGCAGATGGTGACAGGGCTCTTCCAAATAACATTACTTCCTCTGGTTGTATTAAGTTAACTCTCTGGATTCTTTTTTTCATTATATTAGCAGATATAGATTTCATAGACTCATTTATCAACTATACCATTTAATGCACAGCACATGGTCAGATCACTGGCAATCACAGAAATGCAAACTAACAAGACAAAGACCACAAACATACGTCTAACACTATTAATAAAATCCCCTTGCTTCATTTGCCTTTTTTGCAGCTCTTTTATCTTCTGCAGAAGTGCTCACTTTATGACCATAAAATAGATTGCAGTACTATTTCTTGCATTATTTCATTTTAGAAATACTACCGACTACATTTTCTATAGGAGTAACTTCTATCTCCAAACAGCACTTGCACTTTTATTTCACCAGAACCTTGATTACATTACACAAACTGGTGAGATTTCTGTGGTATCCATAGAGTTAATGATTAATACTGCTTTTTAAACACTAATAAAGTTAAAATACAAATAATATCAACACAGGACAGTCCAATTTTTCAACTTGCTACTTAAACTGATTTAGTAATTACATTAATTAGGTAACCCATTTAAGTAACATAATGCCATATGCTTCATTTTGTATATAAAAAGTAAAATGTACACTTATTTTCTAGGTCTTCAGACAGTGTAAATCATCTGGCTTTTATTTACTCCCCAGAACTCTGCTGGTTTACACCAGCAGAAACACACAGCTACAGGCTTCTATTTTCTAGTAGGCAATCGTTTAAACTGACTTATTATAGCTAGATGGCATTAGGAAATTAGCCATGGAACAGGAATTCTGAACTGTAATCAGTACCATCTGCATATTGCCATACCAGTCTTTGATTATTTTTGTCTACGCTTCGATTTTTCAATGGGATGTAACAGGCTGAGAGGCTTCTCTTAATAATGAATAGTAAAATAATATTTTTTTTTTCCCTTACAGAGATTGGAGAAAATTGTTGGGTTTTTATTGTATTCTGAAAACAGAAAAAATCCAATGGAGGGAAAACACTGGTAAAATTAACGTGGATGACTCTGCAGAGATGTGAACTGAAGCAACATTGCTGCAAATGAGAGCTGCCTGAATGCTGCTCAGGAACGCTCCAAAGCCAACAAGAGGTGGAAGGAGAAATCAATGAGGTGCTGAAAAGTAAGGAGAGACATACATGTCTGTGGATGAGAGCAACTGCCCATGACTATGTGGGGATAACTTTTCAAAACTACTTGGGGCCAAATTTTTAATGCTCAGGCCATGTAGTTGACACCAGATCCTCAGGATGTCAGCTCGGTACGTGGGGCTCGGCTGCGGGCAGGCACCATTCCATGGGGAGCCCAAGGTCCAGCCTGCCACTGGTGACATTCCTCAAAAACCCAGTTGCTGTCCTGCCAGGAGCACCACCCAAAGATGTCTGAAATGGGACACGCTTACTGAATAATGATTCACCCACATCCCCACCAATTATTCTACACTAACACCCACAGCTTACACATAATAGGGGCATATCAATTTTATTTCATTAGTGTACAGAGAAAGAGGAAGTTGTCCCCCCAGCACCATGCTTTGTTGTCCTGGCAGTAGTTGGGTAATAGCTAATATATCCTACAACAGTAACAGGAGAGAGGTGGTCAGAGCTGCACCCAGCAGCCTTGTGACGGAGTTTGAACAATTCTGGTAAGTAGGACTGACCTCTTGGTAATAACGTTGTCAGCCATGCTGCATTCCCAGCTGTGGCTTATCTAGCTCCATAAATTACTGTGCTATGCCCTAAATTCTCTAGAATTCAAACACAGGCAGTTGACACAGTTAAGTTTTGTTTACAAAGATCTCACTGCAGATTACATGTACTCTGCTCTCTTCAAGAGGAAATATCCCTACACATTGTCAGTAACAAATAATTGTTTGGCATTTTTGAAGTCAAAGCAATGTGCTCACTCAAGAACACAGGACCAGAAATCAGAGAACAGGATGGAAATGTTTAGATGAACAAAACGGCACTCACATCTCTATCATATCATTTGTTGAAATTGCTACTGAAAGGATAAGAAATATAGTTTCACAAAAATGCAGAGGTGGTTTCAGACTTTACAATCTTTTGGATAAGAACATGTAGCTAGGATATGGATTTTATTTTAAACTTTATTTCATTTTTTGTAACCAGCTTGCAAAGAATTTTGCATCTCTTTTATCAATGTAAAACTGCTTAGAACACCCCCAGAAGATTGAGCACATGCAGAATGCTTCAAAAGAATGTATTTTATTGCGGTCTCTGAAAGAAATCCCTCCCAAAGAGTTTCCTACTCCCTTCTTTTTCTTTTTGTCACCGTAATACAATATTACTCTGGGCTTTAAGTAATTTACACTAATACATTTCTTTTGTGCTTGCATGATTCCATCACCCTCTCCTGCACTCGATATTGTCACCACCTGGGACACTTGGCAAGCCCCCCTCGGGGTCACACAGCTGAAGTGCCAGACCAGCAGGGTGAACTCCTGTTGTCCTCAGGTATCCCTTGAGACTCCTTCCTCAAGCTCCTTACAAAACATAAGTCAAGCGAGATGCACTGAGCTCACTGGTGAGCACATCCGTGTTACCTGGAGCAGCACAATGATCATTTTTCTGGCCCATTACCATCTTAGCTGCTCTGTCCATCCCATGATACTTCTTTTCTGCAAAGCTTTGTACTGTTCTACCCTGCCTATCTTTAGGCATCATTATTTGACAATTTGGGGATTGACCCTGAAATCTAGGGCACACTGTTGATTTTTTTATAAACAGAAAATTATAGCAGCTTTCCATATAATGGCCCAGTTTCTGTACAGTCCCAGAGTTGTGCCCACTGTGACCAGAGGACGGGTTTGGCAAAGCACAACAGCCTGACCAACAGCACGACCAACAGCACAAACATCTGCCTCACAACACAACAGCCTGACCAACAGCACAAACATCTGCCTCACAAAAGTTACTCCTCCATAGTAGTGGGGAATATTTTAAAGCTCAATACATTTCATTTTTAGCCTGTGTAAGTTTACTTTTTTCAACGCATCCAGTCCCCTTGTTTGCTTGGTTGGTTTTTTTTTAGTAGTCTCCTACATCCCCTCCAGACTATCAGTTTCCACACCAATGGGTGTTCCAATCTGGCATCCAAGCACAACGACATCTCCTGGTAACTCCCAGCTAGTGGCAGGGATGCCATGACATTATTTAAAGACAACTCGCTCTCCCTTCCACCACATGAACTGTTCTCTTCTCCCAGTCTGCAGAGCAGCATTTCACTGACCTCGCTAACGGGCCACTGATCCTTGCATTGGTGCCGCATTATGCCCCTTTCAAGGGCCCCAACTTGTGCTCATTGCAGCAACAATTCCTCCAAGGCTCGTTAGAGGCACTACCTCCGCCAGAGCCCAAGCAGAGGCAGTTTATCCCACGACACTCTGAGGTTTGGGCAGCGACCTGAAAGACACCAGCACCAAACCACTCCTGCCCTATGATACCTCGTGCAACCCAAAATCTTCAGTCTATAAAACCACTTTTTGTGGGCTAGATACAGAACCAAATTCTTAGAACAACTAAACAAACAGTTCCCAGAGGGCTTTGGAAATATTCTCCTATTTTACTCTTTGTTATCTTTAAACTTTTAAGCTTGTGAAAAAACACACATACTGATTCACAAGTAAGAGCTGAAACACAGGCTCATCTTTTACTTTGAGATCATGCATCAATATTTATTATTGCTCCAGTATAAACCTCTCTCTGCCCATCTGCTGACAAAAGAAGTGCAAACATGCCACCCTTCCCCAGTACATACCTTCACCATTCATTGCAGGAGAATGAGTCTGAACAAATGCAGCAGATCCATTTTTAATGTTATCAGGAGATTCAGATAGAGCCTGAAATAGCAAATAATACAGTTCTTAGGACTGAGTACATCCTGGGACTCAAAAATTGCAATGTGCAATATCCAGGGAAGACGAGAGTGGGCAGCTCTTGCTTACCTGGTAGCTCTTTCCTGTGCATGTATTGTCTTCTTCAGCTTCCTCTGGGACACTCATTGTATTCCCCATAGTTCCTGCAAGGTGGAGGGGGAAAAAAAAATCAATCCAAATAACCCCTTCTTACTCATTAATATGAATTTACTGCCTAATTCAAATTGATAGACAGCCAATGGTGACAGACTCTGACAGGCTGTTTAAATTCCTAATAAGCCCCAGCTGCTTTCCCAAAGGCACCTGCCCTGGTCATCAGTGTGCACCAACCAGTCTCACCCAAACCCAGCTATGTGCAGGGGCTCACAGCTGCTCACGGGAAATGGTACAAATGAGCAAACTTTTCTTGTTTGTTGAGGAAAATTGGATGCAATCACTCCTGCATCATTCATTAGGACTCAGTAGATGTCCTAACATGGAGTTAGCGGCAGAATAAAGTGAAAAACACCAAAATGTATGAATAAACATACAGCTTGGTGAGGTTTTATATTTTTGTTTGGTTTTCATTTAAAAAAAAAAAAGAGAGAAAAGAGGCAGCACGTAAAGATGTCATGCATGTAAACTCTGAAAGTTAGGTGCTGTATGTCCTGCAGTTATGTATGTCAGATCCTCTGGGGAGAATTCTCACCTGTGGCTGGGGAAGTGTTTGCCTGCTCTAGACAGCTTCACCAGTTGACTGAGCTGTGTTTCCTTGTCTCGTTCAAGCACTGCCAGGCCTGTAGCTGCAGCAAGTCAGAGACAACATGAACCAGCCACTGCAGCATTCGTCCGGGGTCCTAGATGTGTTTTTCCAGCATGTTGTGTTGCCACAGGGGCAGCACTACTTTACCTAAGCTAGTCGGGTTAAAATGGCTTTCTTATGTTCGTATCCACTGAAGTCACAGCTCTGACTGCAATCCAGGCATAATCTTAGCTAGTTAATTACTATTAATGCATTAGATAATTCAACACTTAGTGAAACTGTTCTGTTTTCTTTAAACTTTGTTTCAGGAGCAATGTGTTTCATTCAGTTTTAGCCTCTTTCCTATGTACAGGTACACATAAACCTGTTGAGGGTTTTGTGTTTTTTTTTTTTTCTTTTTCTTTTCTTTTACCATTAGTTTGAAATAAGATTATGTACCTTCCAAACTTGCTGTGCCTCAGGATTCTAAATTATTTGGGGCCAAACACATTCCCTGCAACATGGTGGAAGGGCAAACCAGACTGAAGTCAAGAGGAAGGTTCCTATTGACTTTGACTCAGGATATATGTGTATACCTACTGCTAAAGCTACACAAATAAACAATAAGGAGAAACTATTCTGAGCCACACCTTGAAAGAGGAAAGTCTCCGCAGAGGAGAAGGCAGAGGGCTGGAGCCGCCTCCAGCCTCAGTGCTCATCCTGTTGGATGTCCTGCCCAGCCACCGTGGGTACCAGGTGCTCTTCTGGTTTATTATTGCTCTGGGTTATGCCTGCATGAATCAGGGAAGCTGCAGAGGTGTGGATGAGAGCAACTTCTTTAGTGTTTTAATTAAACATCTCCTGGCTATTGGAGAAGAGATGGAAAAGGCTAGTTTTGCTAAATCATGTTCACTAGAATTTGAAGGTGAGAACTGGGGGCAGCTCTCCTTTCAGCCCTCAGCCCCAGGTGTCTGCTTCCAGTTTACAGAGCTCAGGCTGGTCGTTTCCTAACTCCAATCTACAAACCTTTGCTTTACGGGGATGATCAAGATCTGGCTTCTATTTTATGTTGCATCCCAGCTGATGTACAAACCAAGCTGGGCCTCTCTCCAGAGATGGTTGTTGTTCTCTGCGAAGTGCTTAGTGCCGCGCTGGACACTGAACGGCCCCCAGTGATGCTGAAACATGAACTGCACTGCTGAGAATTGCTGCATAAATAGCGGCTGCAGGACTGAGCCTTGATTTCAGAGTGCAGAGTTATTTTACAGGGATTTTATCTTCTCAGCTGATATTTCCACCATAAATCAGAAGTTCTGATTTATGGTGGAAAACAGCCAGCGTTTCCCCATGGATGTACAACGGCCTCTTGTCCTTGCTATGTAATTCTGTTTCCTAGCAACTTTAAGCATTAGCCTATCGGAAAAGAAGAAAACAAGATTCAAATCCTACTGCTTACTCTCGATGGTAAATTTAGTATCTGGTTGAATCTGGAGGATTTACTTTTGTTTTCCATTCACAAGGACGCCTGGTTTATACCAGAAGACAACTTAAGCAGAGGATGGAATATTTGCAGGTTACGCGCTTCCTTTTTCACATGTGCTGTAAAAGCAGTACATATCTGTGGGGAGCGAGAGAAGCAAATTCCTATATTTTTTTATTCTGACAATGATTTGTAGCTTGATTCTCAATTACTCCAGTTTCCTGTTGGTGCAGCTCTACTCACGTCAGGTAAGTTATCTTTGACTGATACAGAGCAGAGATCGCGGGCTCTGATCTCTGGCATATTTGGCTTTAGGAGAGATTACCCATTCTCCACAATCAAGTTTATAATTCTCACTGAAATAAAACATACATAGTGGCCATGTGGAATTTTAAAAGATTTTCACTCACCAGAACCCTCTCTTTCATAGAAAGCTGAACACGGCTTGGAGGCTATTTTTGCTAAAAATGGGACAAACCTGCTACGTAGCCCTCTCGGGAATATGATCCCAAAACACCAAATGCAATTCTGCACCATGCACATATATAATATGTCTTCAGACTGTTTCCCTCCTTGCAACAGTAATTGATTATTGCATTGCACTGGTTTTTGCATCGTATACACAGTATCACAACTACACATTTGGCATGCTCTGGGGCAAAGAGGCTACTGAAGAAAGGTGACAAATCTGTGGCCATTCCTCTGGGTGCAGAGCTCAGTCAATGGCACAGCCTCACAGTCCTGGCCCAGATCCTTTAGTGAAATTAGGAAGGTATATATGATAGCTTCTGCCCTATTTTACAGAAAAAATGAAAGGTCACTGCCACCTATAGACAAAACTGAGTATCAGCCACAGTGATAATATGCACATACAAATGGTATCAAATTTGCAGAGTTTCAAGTTTCCAAGCAAGTAATGTCACAGCTGTTCACTTTTGCCATCGCATCTAGAAATTGCTGCTGCAGAGACTGTTGCATGTTATGGTGCCCGTCTGTGGCTCTAGATTTACATAAACAAGCTCTGCTCCAGCTCTGGCATTAACATGAAATGGTTACGTTTTCCCCAAAGTGCTCAGGACTCTAGTTTATCCTAACAAATCCATTTTTCTCTCATTTGAAACACCTTCTCTTGAAGCTAAAGTTATTAAAAGTGGAGCCAAGAAGGTTTTAGGAAAAATATGGGATTCCCACAAAGCTCTCATTTGGTGTCCTTTTTTGCCAATCTCTTGACAAAGACCACCATTTTAAACATGGGCTGCCAAAAGCCGAGCACCAAGCCCCATTTTGGCACCCAGCTACAATCCTCACACAAGCAAACAGGTAGTCAAAAGATGCTGAGGACTCCCAGGGAGCAGTGACTTGCCTGAGAACCCCGACTCTTGGGGAGCTCTCAGGATCTGCCCACGCGCTTCTTCCCTGTGGGTAGAATCAGTCATTGTCAACCACTGAGGCCCTCTGCCCAGCTGTGAACCACACGCTGTCTCTTGGGATGCCGACTTCATCTCTCCATTGGGTGTTTTTGCTCTGTCGTGGTTATTAATTGTGGTGATTTATTAGTGGTGCAATCACCAGGCAGGACCCGTTTGTGCCTTTTGTTCTAGGTCTGAAGCACACAAAGCTGGTCTCTGTAGTAAGCTGTGAGTATGCAGCAAACCTCCACTCAACCTGGGAGCTGTTGTTGGCAAGATGTCTCTTTTATGATAGGAGACTTGACAGCGATTACAGAGACAAGACAATTTTCGAGAACTGAGAGGGGAAAAGAGATGATCCTGATGCAAGAACATTTTTCAAAATGAGAAGGAAACCCTTAGAAGTCAAGAGGAACCGGAGTAAGCTCATTCTCATCCCTAGGCTTCCTCTCTAGATACAGATTTTTTGATTAAGTTTCAAGGATATTATCCTCGAGGGGGGCTCATTCAGACCAGCTGGAATGCAGCCCGACTGGTTTAAAAAGGAACATGAACCGCCAGCCTCCAGATCAGACACAGCTCTGAAGCAGTTTCTTTCCCAAATTATGCTTCACTCCTTCTACTGTAATGCAGAAAATAATCCAAAAGAAAATTGTATTTTTCAGATTTTTTTGTAACTTTATGTGAACTGTAGTGTGCCCCGAGCATGAGCTCAAGGCTTGGTAAAATTCTCCTTTTTCTCTCACTCTCAAAAAGAATTGATTTTGGTCCTGGCAGAGTGGTAAAAGCTTTGAAAACTGTGACAGAAAATTACAACAAAATCCGTGATCTACTGTGTACTCTGGCAAAAGCCGGGTAAGCCCGACCTCTCTAATGTGTTGACCAACCTAGAGTATTACAACCACCTATGTCACAGCATTTAATAATCAAAAAAAGTACACAATTAATTCCTCACTAAAACTGGCCATATGTTGTATTTAAATGTCAGAAAAAATAATCAGCTTTACTTAGTTCGCTTTGCATCTCGTTTCATTATTGATATGTCACTCCGCAGGTGTTGGGGAAAGACTTAAATAAACTGGTGTGTATTCCAGAGGCAGAGGGAGGACCCAGCACACATTAATTCATGCAAAAAGCAGCCTGCCACAGGGCAAGGACGGGATCCTAAGCCCTGTAGCACATCCCGGCCCTTTATCCTGCCCCTTGGAAAGCAGGTGGGCATGGGGACACGTCAGTGTGCAGCTAGAAAGGCAGAGCTCCTGCTGTGATTCATGTGGAGCCAAGGAAGGACTCATAATAGGACAGGGTTTTAGAAAGTCTCCTTACCTTCCTTCAGCGCAGCTCTCAATTGCTCTCCCGCAGAAAAAGGTAACTCAGACACGTGTTGGGTGTGATGAAACCAGGGGACAAAAGCATCTGAGCACTGTCAGTGGCTGAGGAGGAGAAACGGACACACAACAGACAGTGGTGAAGGGACAGGAGAAGGAAGGATTGAGATGACTCACCCAGGGCAAACAAGAAACACCCA